GTCGACGCTCAACCACTGAGCCACACCAGCCAGGCTTCCTTCCCATATTTCAGCTCAGCTCTCCTTGGTGCTGGCTTCAGAAGGCTGACTCTCTCCTCACAATGACTGAGATAGGCAGAGTAGCAGCAGACTTCAGTAGTCCTAGATGGGCAAAATCTCAGGAATGAGAACCTCTCTCCCTAATCCTTCTAGAAAAGCACCAGGATTGACTGACTGGTCAGGCTTGAGCCATGTTTACACTCCTGGAACCTGGGAATATGTGAGGAGACATGGTACATACACACACACGCACACACACACACACACACACACACACCCAACCCATGGATCAAGTTAAGAAAGGGTCCCCAAAGTATACAGCATATCCTTTCACCCAAAGCGGGGATGCTGGGCAGGTAAAAACAACACACATTCATTATCTATTTCCATGTTCTACACACTGTTAATATATTTTCTTGTATTGTATTTGTAGTTACAAATTTCTAATGGGAGATTTTTTTTTTCATTTTTGCTAGAATTCATTACTAGGATTTAATGAATACATTCAGTCCATGAAATAAGACATTTTCTCAAACTTAAAGAATGATTATTTTTCACATTTTTCTCTATTTTTATTTCCTGATTGTTTCTTTTTTTTAAGTCAAGCAATGTACTTACACATTTCTACCCTCTTGGAGATTTCTAAAAGAAAAGAAACCAGATTCACTTTTATGTGAATTTACTGGACATGTATCTTAAAGAATCAAATTGACCTTAAAAACAGTACAAGTGTTCTGAATCCAGCATTAGCTAGAAGGCAGATACCTCCTCTCTACCTTTTTTCCTCTTTTAATTTCCTAGATCTTTCAGCATTTTCTTATTGGTCAGGATTCAGTGCTTAAAATAGAAACTACTCTAGATATTATTGGCATGAAGGGAGTTAATTCAGGGGATTACATGTATACAATAGACTGAAATTTCTCTAATTTCTTAAATAATGGCCCACCCAGGGAGCTCTGGGGCAGTCACTAAAAATTGAGGTGAAGAAAAATATTTGTTAGATGCAATCCAAAGGAATCAAGAGGCCATAACCAGTCAACTCCTCTCTGATAATCAAGACACTCACACTGCACACACACAAAGTAAAAAATAATGACAAAAACATAAATGTGGAGGGGGTGAGTTAAAATGGTAGTGATTTTAGAATGTGTTCAAACTTAACCATCTACTTAAAATAGACTGCTATAAACATAGCTTAGTACATATGAAGCACATGGTAACCACAACCAGAAATCTACAAGAGACATATAAGCAATAAAAAGAAAGGAATCCAAACACACAACAGAAAGTCATCAACATAGAAGAGAAGAGAGTAAAAGAATAAGGAACAGAGAACTACAAAACCAATCGGAAAACAATTAATGGCAATAACCACATACCTGTCAATAATTTTTAAATGTAAACAGATTAAATGCTCCAATCAAAAGACGAATGGATAAAGATGTGGTATATATACAATGGAATATTACTCGGCCATAAAAATGAATGAAATCTTACCCTTCGTGACAATATGGATGGACCTTGAAAGTATTATGCTAAGTGAAATAAATCAGACAGAAAAAGACAAATACCATATGATTTCACTTATATGTGGAATGTAAAAAAGAAAAACCACCTCAAGATGACTACACACTGTGAGTGTGCTCCAACCCCAACCTGCAGATGGTCCCTGTAGTAAGGGCTGTGACAGAGTTTAACACAGAAAAAGGCCAATCTTGTACAAAATGACCTATATTGATAAAGTTTAAATTTAAGAGTCAGGTACATATTTTGTTAGTTAAGGGTACTTAGTCTTGCAGATGGCAGCTCTCATACCCATCGGTAAGTCATGACAAGCTTTGAAGAGTGAGGTCGCACAGGCTCCAGTGACAACTGTGTTTCCCTGCTTGTGAAATGAGGAAGTAGAACTAGGTTTCCATGCTTCCTTCCTATTTTAATGTTTAAATAAACAAGTGTGATTATAAAAATAGCTAACATGTAATGAACACTTCTAGATCTCATTTACTCCTTACAAGGACCTACAAGATGGGTCCTGTTATCAATCCTAGTTTACAGAGAAAGAAACTGGGCTATGATGTGTCAAGTCAGCTACCAGGATTATATCCTAAGAGGTGAAGCTAATTCACACCAGGGCGGTCTGACTTGAGCCTCCCTGTTATGGCAAATATACCTCTAGCTTCTCAGCTCATTACTGGTGCAGAAGCACCACAAGCAGAATGGGCATTCCCACCCAGTGGGCAGAGCCCTTTGGATAAATATTCACCTCTAAAGCAGTTCTCAACCTTGGCTGTACCTAAAAAGTCACTTGGGGAGCCTTAAACAGCACTGAAGCCTGGGTCCCACCCACAGAGATCCTGATAAAGTCAGTCTGGTATGTAGTCAGGGCCCTGGGATTTTTTAAAATGTCCTTTAGGTATTCAAATGTACAGCCCAGGTTCAGAATGGCTACTCCAATTTTTCTGGGAATGGTGTTGGTTCCAAAGACAAATTCCACCCACATAAGATCAGGTACTGATCTTACATGGCAACAATTGACATCGTAGTGCAAGATTTTGAATTCTTTTACTTATATAAACTGAATTCACCTGTTAGTCGGTATCATCTGTTGTTTTAAATATAAGCTTCCTCGAAAAGGCCAGAGCCAGTGTCATTTGTATGTGTATCCCAGAGCCTAATAACATGCTTGGACATTGTGGGGGAAATGATTCAGCCATGGCCATGTCTATCTCCATCTCACAATGACGGGATCTTACAGGAACACTCAAATCCACTGGTTATTAGTGAACTGAATATTCATCTGCTGGGCCTTGAGAAAATTAAAGCAGTATACTCTGTCCCGCTAATCAGAGATTTCCTGTGGATGTTCTAGAAGGATAAACTGTACACGAGAAACTTGATCTGACCTCTAACAGGTCTGTACCTGCCCATTCCGGTGACCCTGGCACAGGCAGCCTGACTCAGAAAAGGCTCCAGGGCATGAGCAAAGAGAAGACGGAGGCATTTATACTTTGCTGACTGCTGCAGAAACTGCACTTGACCTCTTCACTCCGGTGTCACCAACCATTACCTGGTTGGCTTTGCCCTTTGTGGGCACCTGTGCTGGACCAGTCTTTTTATTGGACTTGTGTTTTATAGTGTGCTTATCCTTAGAGGATTTCCCCCATGAATTCCATTTATAACTTTCCTCCTACATGGGCTTGTTGGCAACACCTGTGCAGACCGGGCTTCAGCACTAGTACCAGCACCCACATATTCTACCAGCTGGATAGGATGCCTTTCTGAGTCAGCAAAACCTGTTTTTTGAGGCACAAGAAAATACTGGCTATTTGACTGTAATCAGTAACTCCTAGAACAGATGCCCACCAGCTTCTTTGCAATAGCCACTCTTTTGAAATCATTCTCAAGTTCACTTTCTTCATCTCTTTGAACCTCGCCTTCCCCTCAATTTACGTGATTGGACCTTAAGAGTGGCTGGACCCTATCCTTTGGCCTCGAGGAACTGCCTTTAATCATTTGCTCTGTGCTACCCAAGCTGATCAAATAATTCTTCCACATTCTGTTTCCTCAGCCCTCAGGACATACTTATGTGGAAGCTAGCCACCTACAGCATTTCACTCTCTTCCTCCTTTAAATCAAAACAACCTATCAACCCCAGCCTATGTTCCCACACTGTCTCTTTGTGGGTTAGTGTACTAGAGATCAGTTTCTCATTAAGATGTTTTCATTTAGGATAGAATGCTCGGTGTTATGCTTACTTCCCAGGTCTGGACAATTTAAAGCATTTCCCACCTACATCTACCCTATATTCCAGAATATTCTCAACTGTAAGTTCACAACATAAGCCATGACTGTGCAGGACTCATGAGGTTGTAGCAAGTTCTCCACAACCAACAAGGTGTCAATATTTGTAAATGGATCCAAGGAAAGCCCTACACTAAGACCATTACCACTGCCAGGCATCCCTGTGTGTTTATCAAGAGGGAAAGGGTTGGCCTCGCAGGAGTCACACAAAGCTCCGCCGTGACCTCCAGCCGGGTCATTTGTGCCAGAGCCCTCACCAAACCACGGCTACTGACATCCTCACTGGTTATGGTGTTTATACAGTATTACAGAGACTTAATCTGAGTATATCCATGGGACTGTGGCTAAAGGTTCACAGCCTCTGGCCCTTTGTTCAAAAGTACAAATTGCACAATTTTGGGGGTGGTAACACCTGTCTGATCTTCAGAGAATTTAGAAGGCTAAAATTTAATATGTAATAGCACGTATAGTGGAAAACTATTACCTAGTATACGGGATAGATTTTAGATTGGAAATGTATTCAGAAAAGGTGGGGCATACTATATTGTCTGGGCTTGATTTTCATTTATTAAATTGTGATAACCCGGCTAGAGAAGCTTCATAAAATCACTTCAATCTAAATAAAATCCTTTGGTAAAAAAAAATGTTATGACTAGTCAACTCTGCTAAATCGGTCCTTGGTGGTCAATAGAATGACACATGTCACAGCTGGACTGCTCTCACATCCGAAATGTATTCTAAGAAGAAAGCAACTTAGCCATAAGAACTTGGATTTTTTCGTGCCATGGTATCATTGCTAAACAATACCCCCTCCTTCACAGGTATAATATGCCTCTGTAGCAGATGCATCAATGCAAACAGATATCTCCCAATTTACAGATATCTTCAAAAAACCATCTTTAAGATCATGTTCTTTTGAGCATCAACTGAACAGTAGAGCCAAAGGGGTGGGGTGGGATAAGGAGAGTCTTATTTACGTTGGGGTGGGCACCAATATCTTTTGCTGATCTGAGATTATATGGGACCCTAAGAATAAATAAAAGCATTAAAAACTTTAGTTTGGCTTAATGAAATAAGAAGAAAAGAAATTCAGGTTACTTATAATTTTAGAGTTTGTTTCACATATACAGTGTTGTGTTACTAAGCAGTGCACACTTTCATAAAAAAATTTATTTCACACTTTTATACAAATATCCACAGGTATTTTCTAATCATGAAATAATTTTACAATGCTAGTTAGTATAAAAATGTATCAAATGCGAACAGACCAGTGACTTGACTTGAGATGACGTTTTCACAACTATGAACTTAAACACCACTACATTCTTGTTTCTTTGTTACTGAATCACCTTTCACCCCCCTCGCCCCTTTTCAAGGACATTCGTCTTTATAACAAGTTCAAAATATCAGCTTCTTAGCAACCTACAAAGCCAGTGCATTAGGTCCAAGTTACCTAAGCAAGAAACTGAGATTTTAAACAGTTATGACCTGTTCTTGATAAATTTTTGTAAACAAAATATCATTTGTAAAACAATTTTTGTGAATGAAAATTCCAAAGTACAACTAGAATAATGTTCTTAGTATCTTAAAGGTATACGATTTCCAAAGGGAAAAAAAAAAAGTTAAACTCCAAGCTGTGTTTTGTTTTTAAAAGAATGAGACATGGCTTACGCTACATCCAAACAAATTAGCACCTGTTTGCTGTTGCTCCCCACATGACGACATTCTGAAGCACAGTCATTTCCTAAAATCTGGCTTTCACATCTATTCAAGCTCTGTTGAATGTATAGAAGAATATCTTCCTCCTCTCCTCCATTTTTACAATTAAAAAACAATTTGAAGTTTTTGTCAGAGTAGTCCTAAAGTAATTCTGGGAAATAGGGGAGGAAACACAGCAAAAAAATAGAACACTGACTCCCATGAAGTGATTCCAACAGTATTGAAAGCTTAAAAGCCATGTTCTAATGACTTGGCAGCGGGCACTCAGTAGTCTTCCACTGGGTCGTTTGGACCCGCCACAGGCACTCACCATTTCTTTCAAGTCCTGTATATACAGCAGTGACGAAAGGTCAAGAAACAGACCCATTATTTCCAAGAGTTCCTGAAAGTTATAGCATTAAATTCAGAATTGTCACACAGGGCTCTAAACTCAAAAACATGCTATGTCTGTTAGGAATTAAACATCTAACAGTTAATCCCATTTCTTAAACAACCCTTTGGGGCTTGGAGGGAGGGGGTAAGGGTTGTCATGAAGGAAGATGCTTTAATAACTTAAACTTATCTGTAAATTATAACAACTCTCTGGTACATTTATAAAGCATTATTTTCTTTTTGTAGTAAACACTTTAGGTCAAACCAATGACCTCCCATGTTCTAATTCTGATTGCTTAATCTAAAGGATAAACTGGAGAATCTTTGGCCTGTTAGTCAATAACAAAATGGTTTGTAAAAAAAAGAAAAAATAAATACCATATACAAATAAGTATAACTAGCATTCAAGTCTGTTTGCACCTGTGTGTTTTAGTGAAAAGGGAGAATGAAATCTGGATGTTTTTGGTGTGAACAAGTATTCACACATCTGGGACATGGAAAAAGATGGCAGGATGGCAACATCACCTTCTATTGCACATTTAATTTAAGATAGCACTTTGAACTGAAACACAACTACCCCTACGGCATTGTCTTGTGATGGGAGACCGCTGACTTGCAGGTTCTCCAGTCCCACGAGAAGAATGCTTGCGGAGGCCATGCCAATGGTCACTCCACTGGCACGGTGACTGTGGGTGCCTTCCTCCAGTTCCACTATCGGGGGGATGTCAGATGAGCGCACCTGGGCAGGCCCCTTCCCACACGCACCTGCGAGCCAGCCACACCGAAAACAAAGGCAACCCGCAAAGTTAAATTAAGGCAGTTAAAGAAAAATCCACTTCAACAGTCTTACATTTGGCTGTGCAAAACAGGGGCTTCGGGCTACATAACAATGTCCACAGAAGTCAAAACTAGAGGTTCGTACTATGTGTAGTCTGTCTGAAATCAAAATTCAGGTATCAGGCTTTTAAACCGTTTGGATTTCTGAGTTGGGGGGAAAACGTAGTTCGGGTACTCTGAAGCTCTTCCGGTCCCCTAGGAGTAGCTTTCATTTTCATTCCACCTTGTGATCCACTGCTTTTTTTCCAGGTTATCGTTATATTTTTCATCTTTGATCTCTCGCTCTTCTTTCGGGATCTTTACAGCTTGGTATCGGGGAATGCTGTCATCGTACCTAGAGCGTTTAAAGAATCCACACTGGAGAAGGGGGAAGATAAACAGAAGCACGTTAAGTAATCTCAAGGAAAGCAAGTGCACTAAATGGGAATATCTAAGCTTTCTGTTCAGCTGTGCCTACCTCTGGACTAAGGAGAAAATACATGGTTTTCTTTCAAGAAAGGACTAATAGGTTGAAAATAATGCTAACAGCCAGTGGGGATAAATGGAAGAGAAAAACGGTTGTAAAATTGGAAGGAAAGTCCATTTTCCATCTTGTCTTTACATTTGGAAACAATGTAAGGTATCTCCTCACTAAAGTTTAAGTTTATGAAACAGTGCTTCCATTTCTTATCATCATAACACTATATGTAAAAAAGCTACTTTTTAGATTATTAGAAAATCATCTTGAAGAACAATTTTTTAAAGGCCATAAACCAAAGATTATTTCATGCCCTTCTTCCACTAACAAAATAAAACTCAGACAGATATTTTACAAATTACAGTTTGAACAAGCCAGTGTTCATGGGTCAATTTAAGAATCTCCTTTCGCCCTGGCCGGTTTGGCTCAGCGGTTAGAGCGTCGGCCTGCGGTCCAAAGAGACCCGGGTTCGGTTCCCACCAAGGGCGCGTAGCTGGGTTGCAGTTTGTCCCCGGCCCTGGTTGGTCGTGTGGGTGGCAGCCACTCGATGTGTCTCTTTCACGTCGAAGTTTCTCTCTCTCTCTTCCTTTCTCTCCCTCCCACTCTATCTGAACAAAAAATGGGAAAATGTCCTCGGGTAAGGATGAAAAAAAAATATGAATCTTCTCTCCTCCGAGGCTCCAGGACACATCTCTAGCTAGAAGGTCATTTACACTGCCTGGACTTGCTGTTGTGCTTCTAAATTAAGCTGTTTCCTTAATAAATCATGTAGTAACTCTGTCCTGCAATAAAATCAATCATGTAAGGCAGAGAACTTGAGGGAAGTATCACCAGATTAAATTTCAGAGGACGGCCTAATTTCTCTCTTTTTAATCAATATGTATTTTATTCATTTAAAAAACAACAACATTCAATCTGATTCAAAGTAGATTTTTATTAAGAACATATCTGGATATTTAAAAATCAGATTGAATATTTTAAATGAATAAAATATATGTCTTTTTTTTTTTAAAGGTGTTTTTCCATTTAAAAGTGCAGATGGAAGGATGAGGAAAATACTTAGAATGGTTGATTAATTTATTACGTGAACTCAATAGGAACAGAGCATTAACATTGAATGAATTTATGTTATAACAATGTCATGGGCAAAATAAAATTATGTGTATAGTTATCACTGAATCAACAGGAATAATGGACCAAGAAGTTTTGTTTTAAGGCCATTTCTACATGGACTCCTTTATTATTCTGTGCAAAAGAGCCAAAGGCCTATTTATTACAAAATGTGGCTCCTGCCCCATTTGAATAGAGAAGGAAATCAAGGGTGGTGTGCAACACTGGAATGGAAATGTTGGGATTCGTTGCGACAGTGCCATGGAAAGGGATCGTAGGAGCAATTCTCTCCTCTCGTGCCCACAGAAACGGAAAAAGGAACCATCGCCAATTCCCGTTTCCATGGATTTACAAATAAGAGAAGCAAAACATGAACTTAAAATCAACTGAGACCCAAGGTTGAATGAAATCTGTAGGAATATGAAATGAGGTCAAACTCCATTACAACATATTGAAATAAAAACTGTCTAGAGCATTTTTGGACTAGAATTTTGTATACTGAGGGTCACACATTTTAGTAAAGAACTATCTTCTGAAATTGGCCATAATGTCCATCACGCCAATTGCCATAGTTTGTTGTAATGGTCTTTGACCTGAGGTAGATATGCAGGAAAAATGAAGGCGGCATGCTTAGCTAGCATACAATTTCTAAGCAACAATTAAAGCATTCCAAGCCTTCCCCCATCACTTTACAGCAAGGAGATAAAAAAGACGACAGTGAGAAAGCCTTCTGATCAAGAGAAACACCATGTTTCCAACATGCAACAGGTTAATTAGGCAGTCAATGCAAACATCTATCTGTAGGCAATTCCAAAATGGACAAGAAATCGGGAATGATTTCTTATGCATCTTTGAAATTCCAAGTGGGATGCTGCATACTAAATTTAACAACATGTGGCAACCTAGGCTATTAAGCCTCCTTTACAGTTTTCTTCATTGCTATGGGTGATATTTAGCAATAACACCACAAAATAACTCACCTGCAAAGAACGATTCTTTGAGCATTAAAAAAACAAAACTGTGAGCTTTCAAGTGAAATAAATAAAATAATTCCAAGCAAGGCAAGCCAGTGTGGACATTTGGAAACATCTGTTAATGGGACACACACAGCAAGCTGTCGCTCTTAAAGTTAGCCACCACAACCATAGCAGGTCCCACAGCTAGCAATTAAAAAACATCGATCAATTACCCAATAACAGAAGTAGATCAATACTATGCATCAGAAGTAAGCCTTTCTTTATCAGACGGCTGAGTATGGATCTCAGCCTTGTGATATGTGGCATCATAATGATCTTTCTTATTTCTCTTGAAGAAACCACACTACAAGGAAGCAAGGTATTTGGTCAGTTTTACAGTTTGGTGAAGGGCTAAACAAAAAAAAAATCTCAGATTTTAACCTGTTTTCTATTCATGGCTCATGTACAAAGAAACCACTAGGGATCAACTAAAAGTAAACAGCCACTGCACTATGTTACTTGGGGGCAGCAATCAACCCAACTCTATTACCATGGGTCTCTGGTCAAATATTTATATGGATGACATTAGTCAGTTAATTGATTTTTTTTATTTGTAACAGAAATCCTGAGGACAAAACTCATCCTGAAAGAGAAAATGTACACACATCTAATTATAGCTTTGGGTGGTTTCTTCTTACAGAAGAATAGGGACCCCAAAATAGGCATCAGATTGACTTCTGCAGTTTATTGGGATAAAACTTAAAGAATAAATTTTCTAAGTAAGATTTAGCACAAATCCAAATAAAACAAAAAGATACTGTGTTTTTCTGCTTTCCACAGTAAATTTTAGGGAACAAATGCCATTTACTTGAGACCTTTAAATGTGTGGGGTGAAGCACAAAATAAAGTCAAATGTACCACCATGAAAGAATGATTCCAGTCATTTCCCCCAAATTCTGAACCACCATTTAACTCTGAATGGTAGGAACCTATGCTCCTCAGGTTAGGTACTCTAAATGAGTATCAAAATATAATTCCACTCTCTACTATAATTTCCCTCCTTCAACAATGGAGGACTCTGTTTACTTGTATCTAGTTCCGAAGGCCATGAAACTGCCCTCTGAAATATAATTTGGTCAAATAAATCCCTGCCCTCCCGAAAAATTCTGCTTCCAAGTCTGGCAACTCATGAAGGTAAAAATCCAAATCTGCTTTGTACAACATGGAAGCTACTGACTACAAGTAACTATTCAAATTTTAATTAAATTTAAAAGCTAATCCCTCAATCGCACTAGCCATATCTCAAGAGCTTGACAGCTACATGAGACTAGTAACTACCATACTGGGGAGTGCAGCCTCGGAACATTTCCATTATTACAGGCAATTTTATTGGTTAGTGTTGAGACTATTTATCTTGGTATTTATTTGTGACCCTCAATTTAATACACAGTGAATACTCCCAAGCAATTTTCAATAACACGTGCTAGTAAATAGAGTGGAAAAAGAAAGAAATCTGGAAACAGGAGACCTGGTCCTGCCTCCAACTTGGCAACCTCCCTAATATCCATGGGCACAAGCATCTTTATTTGCAAAATAAAGGTGACTAGACCAGCCTGGGGGACTTTTCTCTCTCCCCTCCAAACAAAATTCTATGCAGAATCCCCATATTTAAAGCACAGAAAATGAGAACTGGTCTGGTTGAAGCGGGGATGTTGGCCTTAGCCTCACCTTTAGTCTTGGCACCTATGTCTATGTGCAAAATCCAATTTAAAGGACAATGAACTAGAGTCCTTTCTGGCCCTAAAGTTCTATGACTTTAACACATAAAAATAAATAGTTCCATTTAAAAAAAAAAAAAGAGTATCTGTAAAGTAATAAAAACAATTTTCATGCAAGGATTGTAGATGTTTCGAGTTCACTTGTGAGTTGGAATACTTTATTTATTTAAAATTTTTTTTCTTCATTGATTTTAGACAGAGAGGAAGGGAGAGGGAAAGAGAGATGGAAACATCAATGATCAGCTGCCTCCTGCATGCCCCCCAACAGGGGATCTGGCCCACAACTTAGGCATGTGCCCTGACCAGGAATCGAACCAGCAACCTCTTGGCGCAAGGGTTGATGTTCAACCACTGAAGCCACACCAGCTGGGTGTTTTGCAATACTTCAGAACTTACAAAAAAAGAACCATTAAGATCACCTAGTTCAACTAACTTATTCAACAGCTTTAGGCAAGCCAGGATCCAGTATCCCAGGGAGGTGAAATGATTTGCCCAAGATTATACAGCTTGGATTTCTTAACTCTCAACCCACTAGTATGTCTCATGCTCACTGAAGACTGCTAATAATACTTGCTCCAAAAAGACTATCCTTTGACCTCTTCCAGAGAGTATAAGAAGGCCATCTCAAATATTGGACCTCAAATTCAGTTTCTGATATCAAAATAATTTTCAGGACATTTCCTATATTGGTTGGCTGTACTTAACAAGAGAAACCTACTGCCTGAAAAACATCAGAGGTAGGACTGGCTAATGTACATGCGAGAATAAGTCTTGGCATAAGCAGATACCAAGCTTCAATCATACATTTGGAGGATACCGATAAACTATTTCAGACTGGCAAGAGGAAGTTACTTGGAAAACTAAAGCAAGAAAGAGATGACCAATATTTGAAAGTGAGACTATCCTGACCCCTGTCCATTATATTCTTGGGCCTGAGGAAAGGATAAGGATAGTTTGATCCTAGAGATGGTTGGTTGAGATGTATAATTCTTTATCCAAACCCTTTGGACCAGTGATGTTTGGAAATCTAGAGTTTTTGGCATTTTAGAAAAGCAATATGATTCATACATAATGCCACTGTAACCAAAACATTAATATTTCTGTAGTGGAATTAATGAATAAAGGATACAGACTATAAATAGCCTTTCTTCATATCACGTCAAGTTTTGAGGCCAAAAAGTCATTATAAACTTTCAGTTTTCAGAGGTTTTTGGTTGTTGTTATTTTGCAATTTGTAACTGTTGATAAGGGACTATGGACCTCCATTACTGAGAATAAATCCCAAATCTATGGGTCATAATCTCCGGCAACAAAATTTGCATCCATCTCTCACACACTTTCTGGTAATATAAAGTATTTACTAGTAGGAAGCAGGGAGAAGATATTACATTTTATTTGTAGGACCAATTCTAATGAAGAACATGATATTGAACATGATATTGAAATCTTCCTCATAGGATTTGGTATAGGCTATGATTTGATATAGGCTATGATTACCCTGTTGAGATGGAGTTATTCATTAATTTTATATTCCTAATCTAGCTGCAATGATAATAAATCCCAATTGCTGCCATGAACATTTCTTTACAGACACTGAAATTAACAGGGATTCAGATTCAGATTAATGTGATACCCAACAATTTGGCCTAGATTTAGAAAATGATTTAATCTTAGATGAAGATATAAGTAATAAAAATTTTAAAATTTGTTACTTGCCTGCTCTGGCCTGTTTTGCTCAGTGGTTAGAGCGTCAGCCCACAGACCAAAGAGTCTCGGGTTTGATTCCAGTCAAGGGCACATACTTTGGTTGAGGTTCAGTCCCCAGCCCTAGTCGGGGTTGTGCGGGAGACAACCAATCTATGTCTCTCTCTCACATCGATGCTTCGCTCTCTCTCCCTCCCTCCCTTCCACTCTAACTGAAGATAAATGGAAAAATATCCTCAGGTGAGGATTAAAAAAAGAAAAATTGTTACTTGCCTAACACGCTAAATTCCATGTGAAAAACATTAAAATTTATACATTTAAAAATCTTCTTATACTGTATAAATAATATACCTTTAAACAGTGGATATGCAAGTGTTTATTTTAAAATTCTCAACTTTGTTGTATATTGGAAAAGTTTCATAATAAAATGTTGGGAAGAAGGAATCAATGATAAAAATGTAGAGATACTATCAGTGTTCATTCACTTTTTAAAAAACATAAAATGTTTATAATCACGAAATTCAAATGTCAGATACAACTTACCTTCCATAATAAAAGAACTAATAGAGCAAGCATCAGAATTCCAGCAAGAATAGCCACTAGGATGATCCACCAGGGGACTCCTGAATACTGAGCTACAGTCTTTGAGGGAAAAACAGTCACCCGAACCTATGGGCCACACAAGAGAGCAACACGATTATAAAATTGGAAGACAGTCGACACCAGGAATGTGCAGTTCTAACTATGCTTCCAGACACATTTCGGACAATGCAGCTGTGGAAGGACGAGATGCCCTTTGGATGCGAGCTCCTCCTCTTAGTGATGGAATACTGCTTCAACAGACATTCCTGGAGATCTGTCCCTAGAACCTGGAAAAGGCTGGGTTATGTTTTGACAAAGTGTTTCTTTCTTCGCCAACTTAGGTCTTAAAATTTTCTGTTATCAAAAGAAGATAAAATTATATATCATATTCAACACCAAGTTACAACAGTTAATACACAGCCAAATTTGTTTCATCTATACAACCTGGTATCTTTGTGAGAATGACCACACTTTTTAAAAAATTAGCTTTCACCATTGAAAATAACAGGGCCAGTTTATGCACCATTAGCCTACATGCCTCACTCAGATTTTAAAGACGTTGTGAAATATAAAAACCGGGATAGGGCTGCATGACTGATGCCATTTTAACTCTTCCTTAGGATAGTAAACTAGGACCCTCATGAACAACACAGCCTCCTGAAATGGCTTGGTGCCGTCTTCTACAGCAATGTGCATGGGCAGTTTAGGCCCTGGATTCATTCAGAGGCAGCTTAGATGGGAAGCTTAATGTCCGAACATGTGATGATTGGCAAATACCAATTAAACAGAAATAGTGTTCATTCAGAAATCTACAAAGTTACCCATGAAAATTCACAACCACCCAGTTAACATAGATTTAGAATTCAAGTGAATTTTTGGGATGCCGGGAGAAGACTTTTCAAAGCCTATAAAAAACCTGGTGATTGCTCCAAATATGATTTTGTAAACTATACTGATTGGATCAATCACTTTGTAGTTCCTGCTATTTCTGAGTTAAGAGAACAAAGAGCAAAGAAAACTTACCAGGGAGCATTTAACTTCTGAAAAGTATTTTAGTCCAGTATTCTACATGAGTATTGAGCACTGGATGCTGCCTATTATGTTTCTACATCTACACTGTTCTTCAATACTTCTAAATTATAATTCTCTTTTTAATCTCTTCATTAAAATACTTCCCTTCCTACTCATACTAGAAAACACCTATCAACCCCATTTGACTCAGAAAATACTTAAAAAGCAAAAGAGAACTGCTTTTCTTTAAACATTTAGCAGGAAGGATGGCTGAGTTTTCAGCCAACTATATTGACTAAACACCTTTATCAGCTCCCCCGTTTCCTGTTTTGCTCTCAATGAGGTTTCGCTCTAGCTCCCACCCCAGAGGGGGCCTCAGAGCTCACTTCCCCTCCCCTCCCCCTCCCCCAGGTGTCCCAGCTGTAAGGAAAAAGCAACCCTTCCTTAAGATTACTGGCTCTAACACCGGGATATTCACAACGTAGGGAAGAAAGAATGACGAGACCAGTGCAGAAATAATCTTGCTGATGTGACTGGTAAACTGACTAATCCAAAACAAAGATCATTTCAATTAGACTGTGCTGAATTTCACTGAACTTGGCTTCCCTAGGATCTAGCATAATGAAGGTACACAATGTGTCCTTGGGGGCAAGGTGACAACCTGGAAGGGCCATCGTCATTTGTAAGAATAAGTTCTGATAAAACTGGATGTGGAGAGTAGAGACTGGCCTATGCCGAAGGGAATCAACCTTATTATAACCCCACTGTATACCAAAACCGTTTAAATAGCTGATAAAGAGGGAAATCACTCCCACAAAACATCCAACAGCATCCTGGCTGAACAAGGTAACTTGATTTGTAGCCTAGGGTGGTAGGGTGGGTAGGTGGGAATTCAGTTGAGAGCTCTAAACCCCAGGTCTGGCTATCATTCTAATCATAACTTGGAGCCTTATAGAAACTGCAGAACAACTCGCTGGACTAAGACTGAGAGGACCAAAGGCAGGGCTAAAAGGGCAGGTGTGCACTGCAAACCAAGTGTGTGTGAGGCCACGCTGGGGACCAGTGAGGTGAGAAGTCAGTGAGCAAGATTTTATTGTTTGTTTACTTCAATTGTCAACTGAAGGGTTTTTGTTTTTTGTATGACGACAGTCTTTCTCCATCTGGGATTAGGAATAAGAAGAGCTGGCCTTAGAATCGGGTGGCGGGAGACGAACTTGGAGCTGCAATTCCCAGAGCTCCGGGAAGCCTCTTCTCATCTCGCCACCGCAACTCACTGGTGGACAGTAACCGGTTCAGGGGGGCGGAAGTTATCCCAACTCTAACACCAACTATATTTTTCGGTTTCATTAAAATCAAGTCATTTCCACAGGGATGGCCTCCCCCATCATGTGCCTGTAGGGGGAAGGGGCTTAGCTGCTGCTGCATCTAATTCCACCAGCAGTGGGCAGTGCTCAGACTACAGTCACCTCCCTCTGCGGAAATGCTCCCCTAAATCCCTCTGTAACGGGAGGCCCTCCACTGCTGCTGGATAGCAGTATGTATCACCAGATGGAAGGATTTTCATATTTTATAAAACTCTCTATTAAAGACACATTCCCTTTAGTGAATGTTCCTCCTATCAGAAATCCATCTTACAATAGGATCCACCTCAAGCTCTCTGAATTTAGAGCCCCCCCCCCAAAAAAAAGAAAAGAAAAATTGCATTCCCCTGAAAAATGATAGGTTTTTTACCTATCATATGTCCTTTGTCTTTGGCAGCTTAGATCCTCTCTTCCTACTTCCTTAGGGATGAAGTGGGGACTAGAAGTACAACCAGTAAACACCTCCTCCCCTTCCCTGGCTTATGTCGAGGATACCGGCCTGCTTAGCGTCCTCCATGGAGTTCTGACCAGCTGACCCTGGATCCTACTCACTAAGCTGCTTCTCTAGCATTTGTGTAGAGAAGGCACACAGTCCTTAATACGTGCTCGTTTACTGATAGATTTAATTTAGTTGATGCTAAAATATAAACCGCCTAATCTGGTTCAATTAGGTGACCAGCTCTCTCTGATTTTGTTATAACAGTGTCTTTAAAGGATTTAATTGACAAGGGAACACAAAATTCTTTAAAAATTGGTTTGGCCCGGCCAGTTTGGCTCAGCAGTTAAAGTGTTAGCCTACAGACAAAAAAGTTGCGGGTTTAATTCAGTCAAGAGCATGTACCTCGGTTGCAGTTGGTCCCCGGCCCTGATCGGAGTCATGCCGGAGGCAACCAAACAATGTGTCTCTCTCACATCAATGTTTCTTTCTCTTTTCCTCTCTCTCTCTCCCTCCCTCCCACTCTATCTGAAGATGGAAAAATATCCTCAGGTGAGCATTTAAAAAAAACTGGTTTGGTTACAAGAGAACAAAAAGGTTTTTTCTTTTTCTTTCTTTTAAAGCCTGAGTTAGAGTAAAAGCAATAGGAAGAAGTTTCTACATAAAGACTAAAAGACAAGACTGAAAAACTCAACCTCCTGCCCTGGCCGGTTTGGCTCAATGGTTTAGAGCATCAGCCTGGGGTCCAGAGAGACCCGGGTTCGATTCCCGCTAAGGGTGCGTACCTCGGTTGCAGTTTGTCCCTGGCCCTGGTTGGTCATGCGGGTGGCAGCCACTCGATGTGTCCCTTTCACATCAGTGTTTCTCTCTCTCTCTCTCTCTCTCCCTCCCACTCTACCTGAACAACAACAACAAAAAAATAGGAAAAATGTCCTCGGGTGAGGATTAAAAAAACAAACAAAACTCAACCTCCTTTGCTTCTATCTCCAAAGAAAAATAATCTTCAGACTGGAAAAAAAGATTAAGCTAGATAAAGATAAAATTAAAACCATGATAAGTGAGGCAATGAAAAGGAAAGGCATTCTGATATTTGAAATAAGCTAAAATCTTTAGGCTCCAAAACACTACTCCTTAAAATTAGAAAGAAAGGTGTAAATATGATATCTGAGCTATTGTATCTCACAAATCACAGTTAGTTGAAGTATCATAAGACTAGAGATAAAACAATGTCTTGGTTTTCTAAAGAAAGGAGGTCTAGATATAAGACCAGTAATCCATGCACAAATCTACCAATTATTAAATAAAGTGGGATCACAGCAAAGTCTCCAATTTCCATTAACAAGCATGAATTTTCCAAGCCCAAGAACATAAAATGCCCCAAAGCACTTCCTGCTCATTTGTGACCCAGCCACTGGACTGGACACCAGGGCCCCCAGTTCCACCATCTTTCAGAAACAAGAACCTCTGATGAAGAGCCATAAACCCCACATCTGGTCTCATCTCCCCAAGCTAGTCCTGTGATGCTAACAGATGGACAACCCACATGAATTTGAGATTTGGGGAGCAAGTACTAGAGTCAAATAACAGTACAGTCGCCCCTCGCCACTTTGCTCTTCGACGTTCGCGGCTTCACTCTACGCAGTTTTTTCAAATACTATACTACATTGGAAAAAACCGCGACAGAGTGAAGCCGAGAGAGTCAAAGCGCCAAGTGGCCAGGGACGACTGTATAAAGAATCCTACTTCGTGGAAATTCATTTATTGCGATAGAGTCTGGAACTGATTAACCATGATAAACTAGGGCCAACTGTAGCACTAAAGTCAGATAATTGTTCGTTTGTTTTTGTTTTTTGTACGTGCCCCTAGTGGGAACCAAACCCGGGACTCTCTGGTCCACAGGCCGACACTCCAACCGCTGACCCAAACCGGCCAGGGCTAAAGTCAGATACTCATGGGACCACAAATTACATCACCTTCCTCCTCCCCCTCTTTCTCCCCCCCTTTTCCCCTACTGGGGATGGAGCAGGCTGGGAATCCAACCAGCAACAGCCTGGTGCATGGGACGACACTCAGTCCACTGAGCCATACCAGTGGGGCCTCAGCAAACATTTAAAAACCAAGTTTTAGGCTGAGATGCTGGGAGGTACTGGCCCCAGCGTAAGCTGAACCAGGCAGACCACACATTAGCTACTCTGCCCATCCCTGACCATGTGGGAGTCCCACTGTCTGGCTAGGGCTGGCCCGGGAGGAGGGAGACCTGGAACCTGCTCACTTGTGCCAAGCATGATGGACAACTGAGGAGCTGGGTGCTTAGCTCCGAAGAGAGTAAGAGTGACATGCGCAAGGAGCCATGGCAGTTTCTTTCCATTATTTCAAAGGCTCTCTCGGCTACATGGCCAAGAGAGAGAACTTACTTTGAACTTATTCCAAGGGGTATCACCAGGGACTGAGTTTATAAGAGTCAATTTTGGGTTCATTCATATAGAGATCTTTTCTAATAACCACAGCTGGCCACACACAGCAGGAGCTGCACCGTAAAGCAGTGAGGTTACCATCACTGGGGGTCCTCCCCATCGGCTGCAGCATCAGGGATGGTCTAACCCACGGGTTTCTAGAGTTGGGAGATGCACCCGTTCTTCCACTGGGCCAAGAGCTCTCAAGTCTACCATGTGCACTGCAGAACCGGAGGACCCCAGATTCACTTCTTTTTTCAATGATTCTATTAAAATTCAGTGTGCGGTGGCAGCACCTTAAGACATCAGATTTTTCCTTAACAGGGGTAAACAAGGCTGTGAAATGAACGCCAAAGCAGTCTGTCCTCGGGTCGTGGGCATGGGATAGCGGGAAGAGAGTTTGCCCCAAAGGAAGACTGGGCGACTTCTCACCTGAGTGCCTGCGTTTGGCAGCTTGATGTTCTCGGTGGCAGCAGCTACATCAATGGAAGCCCGCACGAGAATGTCCAAGTAGTTCATTTTAGAATATTCCTGTTTGGAGACAAAGTTAGCGAATGCATTAGGGAAGTGAGAAACGCCCCAGGAGGTGGCAGATGACTTCCGGGGACAGCCTCACGGCAGCCACACCTCTAGAAACGTGCTGTTCCACAACCTCGAGCGCAGAACCACGGAGGCCTTGCTGTCCAGCCCACGCAGCGGGCAGCTGATCCTCACGCAGTTCACGTTGACGCTGCAGTTCTGGGAGGACAGGGAGGGCAGCGGTTAATTGCAGGGGCTTGGGGGAGACCTTCCGCCCTTCCTCTCTCGGAGTCGCAGTTCTTGAAAAATACTTACAAGGGTCTGGTATTTTCTTTCAGCAAATAAAGAAAACTTTCTGCTATCGTCAATCTGTTTTTCGGCAATATCCCGTTTCTTTCTTGAGTTGTGCGACTCCTGAAAAGAATTATACCCCAAATTATTCCACCTAACGTAATTCTTGGTTATGGCAGCACAAACCTTTTGAGCACACCCTCCCCCATGATGCCCAATTCACAAAATCCACAATATCTGCCCTGTTCCTGTAGCCAAAGGCGCAGAAATAATATAAGTGTAAGATCCCCAAGTGTTATTACCTCACTTCAAATGGACTGATGTAAGTAATTTATTCCCACTCTGACCTGAAAACCCAGGGAGAGAAAGAGACTTGCTTTATTCTGTCTCTCCACCAAACTGTGAGCATCCTAAGACAGGGATCAAATCTCATCCCTAGATCCCTAGCACCAGCTCGGGACCTAACATAGGGTAAAAAGTCAGCACATTTTGAATGAACAGGTGACGCTGAAGAACAGGAAAAGAACTAGCACATGACTCATTCGAAGTACGGTACTGAAAACTAAGCCTTGTAGGAAGTTTTAAAATTGCATTTTCCTTAAAATAAGGATTAGGAATAATGAACCATCTCGTTTCTCCAAGTTGGTGAATAGAGGATCATGCTATAAGCCACCAACTATGAACACTCATCATACCCGTCATTAGCGTTCAGGAGAGAAGAACAGAGTAACAGAGCACGTCTTCCCGAAACGAGGGTGAACGAGAGCCTGGCGGGGGGGTTGTGCGGGCGGCAGAGTGGAGGCTGGGAGCAAGCAGAGCTGAGCTCCAGGGCTCAATCTGCCTCTTAAAGGCAGAGCGACAGAGAAAGTTCACCTCCCTGAATTTCAAGTCCCTCATCTATGAAATGGTGAAGAAAAAGACCTCACAGGACTATCAGGAGAAAACGCACAGAGAATACTTAGCACAGTGCCTAAGACATAGTAAGTACTCAATACATATTATTTACTGTTTTAAAAGATGAGAATGAAACACTTTCAAGGTCACTTGCTAAGGTGCCAACATTTTTTGGAATGAGTTTGGTTCCAGTGGGAGTTTACATTGGCGGGCCTGCCCCCCGGAGCCTGTCCCAGTCCTCCTTACATGTCATATTGGGTCATACCACTACAGAAAATGTCATTTGTTTCAATAAGCAGCGAATGGCTCTGACGTAGGAGCCATAATGGTCTCTAATCAATGGAAGTCCTCAGCCTGGCTGGTTACACAACCGCAGAAGAGACACTCTGGTACCAAGGGAGAAGCCAACAAGCCAGCATATCCATTTCCTAAGAAAAGGACTGGGTTTCCCCTCAAAAGTCAGCTTCTCCTGTTTAAATCTATGGAGACACGAGATAAACCAACCAACACACCTTTAAGTCCAGAGGGTTTATTTCATTTGATGGCTCGCAAGTTATCTTTTCCAATCCTTTGGATTCTACTTTGACCAAGTAAAGCAACCATTTGCCATTACTAATTTCTTTTGGCCACTGGATATTCAAGGTTGCTGTGCCGAGGTTTTTAAGAGGTTTGCCCAAGTTAATAACCTGTTAGGAAACAAGACGTTATGTCAGTGTGATTGTCCTGATGTAGAGTTAAGCAGCAGCTCCTATTGCCAAGAGAAAAAAGCGAAAATCCCTGGCATAATCATACAATCAAAGCCAAGGCCCCAAAACTAGCCTATAGATAGGGTATTCAAAATAGAGATCTGTGCTTAAAAAATGCTTGTCAATAAATATAGAGGGGGAAAAAAAGATCAAAGCAAAACGATGGTTCATTCAATCCAGGAAGAACTGCAGTGTGCAACAGATTACGGGGGCAGATACTCCTGCTCTCAACGTGCCAGGGGGTCACATGTGTGTGAACCGCTCTGTCACCACCCTGCTGGGCAGAGGACAACACCCTGCTGTGGCAGTGCAGAACCACCTGCTTCTGGGAAACCCCTCCTACCGCGAAAATGAAGCTGTCTTCTACTACCGTAGGAGGCTTGGGATAACAACTGAGAGACTGAGCAAAGCTACGTAATGGCAGCCCAGCAGGTGTGGCTCAGTGGATGGAGCGTAGTCCTATAGACTGAGAGGTCCGGGTTCAATTCCGGATGAGGCTGCAGGCTCCATCCCCAGTGGGGGGCGTGCAGGAGGCAGCCAATAGATGTTTCTACCTCTCTCTCCCTTCCTCTCTCTAAAAAAAAATAAAAACATACTTAAAAAACAAACAAAAAAAACCTACATGATGGCAGCCGTGAATCTACAAGGCCACGCTGGGGGTGGAACAACTTCCTGCAGCAGAAGCCAGACAGGTACCAGCCCCGCTGTCTGCGTGGAGGACTGCTCTGGAACCCAGACTTCTCCCTCAGCCACACCTGCAGGGGCGTCACAGCCGCTGCCGCAACCTGTCACCGCTGTCTGTCTGGCGAAGAGCTGCACAGAGGAGAATTCAGCCTCTTTACCTTGCTGGAGTCGGGGGGGAGGGGGGTGCTCATTCTTGCCATTTCAGACATAAACTTCAACAATGGGCACTACGCTTTCAGGAACGGGGTTTCAGCCACACAGACCTGAGATCCACATGAGCTACAGCCAACTGTGCCATGCGTTTGTGCTCCCTGAACTGGGCTTAGGCCACTGTGCTTGCCCACTTTGGACTGTTCACAGCAATCACTCGTCCCTCCTAGGGGCATATGCCAATTCCACATTCCCCAGCACAAAACTAGGCTTGCAAGAGGTGAGTGGGCATGAACCGCAACAGTAAGAGAGATGGCCTTTAAAACGAGGAAGCAATAAATCATAATACATTCTAAAGCCAAATATAAATTACTCTGAGATTTTCCTGTGTGTTTTACAGACAGACTCTGGGGGGGGGGGGTAATAAATCAAGTGTCCCTTTGTCTCTATACCACATATACATGAAAAACTCTCTAATAAGAAAACCAAACTGAACTCGATCCTGTTGAATGACAGGTGCTGTTCTCTAGTCTGGAGGACAAAACTTTTATTGTAAGCCACTGTGTTGATGAAAAACTGGCACACTCACTTTTAACTACCATTTACCAAGCTTATCTGTTAATATTATTTATTTAAATGACATATTCAAGACCATATTTAGTATGTGTTCACTTCTGTTGTCTTATTTATAATAAAGGGACCAACTGTGACAACTTACCCTGAACTCATACTCGATCAAACTTCCCACTTCATCTTCAGACTTCATAGCTTGCTCACCTAGGACTGTCCCTCCAAAATACACCTGCGAAGGCTTAGCAACTCTGTTAAATTAAAAAACACCAGTTTAAGTGAGGATTGTAAGTGGTTCTTTCAAACACTGATTTGTTATGCTAAACACAAACACTTACCCAGAGACAGATAAAAGCAGTTCAATAACCACTTTTGCAGACGCTGTAATTGAAGCCAAATTATCTTGATTGCTTGTTCTGAAAATGAAAAGGAAACAATAGGGTTTTATTTTAACAGTCAGTTTTCTCATTACAATTACACTTCTCTTATGAGTTAGATCAGGGCCAATTCATTGGCTGTGTTTTCACGAAAGAATTCTGACGGAAAGGTTGAAGTGACTCTTACGTTTCCAACTTCAGATTAATATCCAGATCTGTGGTGTCAAAGGTGACCTCAGTTGTACTTAAAATCAAATAAAAAGTAACCTAAAAAATAAAAATAGCTATTAACACAGGCCAAGCATACTGACATTGTCATGGCATTTAAAACAGTAAAATTCAGTATGTGAAGGCATCACCTACACTGGAATTTCTTTTAAAAGGATTTCCAAGCTCACAGTCTGCTTGTGACCCATTCTGGTTGGCAACACAGCTCAACTGTTTCTCCTGCAACAGAAAAACACACTAGGTCACAACAGGTCCACTCACAGCGCCGGTTTCCCCCTCCCAACGGGGCTCCAACCGTACTCACAGGGAAAGCCTTCAGTTCTCGATATGCGGAGTAAGTCAGAGTGTCCGGAAAAGTTGCAATGAGCTTAGCTTCGTGTGCATCATCGCCATCTTTCGTGGGGTTCCTCGGGTCGGAAGGGCTGTTGGTCACTGTTATTTCTAAAGCAATGTCCTTCTGATCTTTTAGAACTAGTTCTGGAACCCCTTTTTGACTATTAAAGAAGAGAAAAACAACAAGTCCTCAAATGTGTTTTCAGTAAACCCTTTTATAACAAAGCCAGAGCCACACTGACTAGTGCTGCAGAGCAATTCTTACATGGGGAGATAAGAAAATTTGTCCTGATTTCCCTCTCGGGTACCGAACTTGTATTCTAGTTTAAGGTTGCTGTTACATACGTTGTCGTCTCCACATCCCTCTTTTAAGAAGTGCACCTGTAGGAAAACAAAACCATGGTGATTTCTGCCACTTAGGACTCACAAAGGCACCGACAGGTGACTGGCTGTCTCCACACTGTTCCTTTCCCTGCGTGGCAATGACCAGAACAGAAGTCAAGCTTCAGATGTCCTCTGGCATGCAGGCAATGCCCACGCGGTCTAACAGAACTGTGTTTTAAGACACTTTGACCAGGGCACTGAGGTGGGGTGGGGTAGTTAAGGGGTGAGTTTCGCAGCCACGCAGGTCTGTTTCAAACCTGGCTCTGCCACTCACTTCGCTGTGTGGCTTCGGGAGAGTCTCACAAGTAACGTGGACACCACCACTCTACTGTACAGGGCTACTGTAATAATGATCATGATGCTGCCTAACACGATTATGCATAACTCATTTAATCCTCAAAACAGACCCAGGAGGAAGATACTAATATGAGCTCCATTGTACAGATGAGGACACAGAGTTTAAGGTCAGGACAGCAAATGGCTGAGTATCCAGCACAGTGCGAACGGTGCTCGATAATCACACTGATAAGTAATCAGGAAAACTGTCTCCTTGCTTGGTATGTTTAACATGACTACAGAGCTGGGAATATACACAAAAAATATTAATGTGGTGACCAATAACATCAGAAGTATATAAAAATATACAAAGGTAGCCCTGGCCGGTTTGGCTCAGCGGTTAGAGCGTCGGCCTGCGGTCCGGAGAGACCCGGGTTCGGTTCCCGGTAAGGGCACGTACCTCGGTTGCAGTTTGTTCCCGGCCCTGGTCGGTTGTGCGGGTGGCAACCACTCGATGTGTCCCTTTCACATCGATGTTTCTCTCTCTCTCTCTCTCTGTTCCTCTCTCTCCCTCCCACTCTACCTGAACAAAAAAAAGTGGAAAAATGTCCTCGGGTGAGGATAAAAAATTAAAAAATAAAATAAAATAAAATAAAAAAATATATACAAAAGTATAAGGAGCTATACCTGGTGACAATAAAGACGACAATGTGTAGGTTTAGGCAGCAGCTCCTAAGCCTGACACAGGGAGTACTCACTTCCGAAAAGCTCAGCAGCACAGCACCAGAACCAGGGGCCTGAGTGCCACTGGAGGACCAACGGGATTTTATTTATTCATTGTTTTATGCTCACCTGAGGACATTTTCCCATTTTAGTTCAGATAGAATAGGAAAGAGAGAGACAGAAAGAGAGAGAAACATCAACATGAGAGAGACACATTGAAACATCGACGTGAGAGACACATCGACTGGTTGCCTCCCGCACGACCCCAACCAGGGCCGGGGACGAACTTCAATTGAGGTAGGTGCCCTTGACTAGAATCGAATCCGCAACTCACTGGTCCACGGGCCAATGCTCTAACTGCTGAGCCAAACCGGCCATGGCACCAACAGGATTTTATAGCCTGTGCAAAATGCCAAATTAAGATGTCGCAGCTCCCAGCCTAATCTTGCATCTCAACCAACGTAAACCCTGGCAAACAGACCCCACACCAGAGGTCCACAGCAAGCCATATAATTTTCTCCTAAGATTTTAGGCTACACTTAGCACTAAATGACTATTTCACTGCTGCTAATTTTTTGACTTGCTAAATTTTGATATTCCTTGATTTAAATGTTCAGACTAACAACAGTTTGTTTTCTACAGCTTAATGGTAAAAGATAATGTATTTTTTCTTTCTAACTACAGCTGTAGGAGAAACTTGATGTGAGAATAAGAAGTTCTGCTCTGGCCAGTTTGGCTCAGCAGTTAGAGTGTCAGCCTGCTGACCGAACAGTCTTGGGTTCAATTCCGGATCAAGGGCACATACTGTGTTGAGGTTCAATCGCAGACCCTAACCAGGGTCATTCAGGAGGCGACCAATCGATGTGTCTCTCTCACATGGATGTTTTTCTCTCTCTCCCCCTACCTTCTACTCTCTCTAAAAATCAATGGAAGAATATCCTCAGGTGAAGATACACACACACACACACACACACACACACACACGGAGTTCTGCCAATTATGGATGGTCTCAATAAGTTGCAGTGGCCAAAAAAAATTTCCTGCCCGAGCTGGTTTTGTTCAGTGGTTAGAGCATCAGTCTGTGGACCAGAGAGTCCTGGGTTCGGTTCCCACTAAGGGCAAATAACTTGGTTGCAGTTTGTCCCCGGTCCCAGTTGGGGTTGTGTGGGTGTCTCTCTCACATCAATGTTTCTCTCTCTCTCTTCCTCCCTCTCTCTCTCCTGCTCTATCTGAAGATAAATGCAAAAATGTCCTCGGGTGAGGATAAAAAGAAAAAGAAAACTACTTCCTGGCTCCAAATTGTATTCTATATGCTTCTATATTCATTGCTAATTGGAGAAACAAATCTTCAAACTTTGCATATATTTTTAAAAGCTTATTTAATACAAAGGAATGACCTCTCAAGCAAATCACCAGTTCCAATGCCTTTAAAGACACCTGATTTGACATATGATATAGCAAAAACTTTGACAAAACAAAAGTCAGAAAGACTTACATCTGTATGAATCATCTTGGGCTCATTTGAATTCAGAATTGGAAAAATCTCTGGAAGTGAATTCACTCGCCTCCGAGTGTTTGGCTCCTGGATCTCTACTGAAGCAGTTATGGGGATGGGACGCAGTTTATCTCTGATATTTTCCTGAAAAGCATTCAGAGATACAGGTAAGCATGGCATAAATGCTACTGGAGAACTCCAGAACAGTGCTTTAATTTGTTCCAAATAATGGGTTACTAGTACAAATTTCAAACATCTATATACGCCACCATAAAACCCAACCTTTGCCCCCTTTAAAAAACTACTTTGACTGTCTGCAGGCCTCACCTGCAGCCAGAGGGTTTCCTCCATGCACACCTTCTGCTTCTGCCTGGACAGAGTTATTTCTTTAGTATACTTGGGCTCGGAACCTTGGTTTCGAAACTGAACTCTTGATGACAGCCCAGATTTTCTTCTCTCCTTTTCAGCCTCCAGTGTGCCCACAATGGCTAGAGAAAACAAACAGAAATCCTGTGGCCTTAAAGTATATTCATGAACGTTCAGCTACACAGACGCTGAACTCCTTTTGAAATTTATGTGTGTGTGTTTTTTTCTTTCTTTATTGATTTTGAGAGAGAGAGAGAGGAAGGGAGAGGGAGAGAGATAGAAACATCAATGAGAGAGAACATCAATTGGCTGCCTCCTTCCTGAATGCCCCCGACTGGGGATCAGGCCCACCGCCTGGGCATGTGCCCTGATTGGGAATTGAACCGATGGCCTCTTGGTACACGGGTCAACGCTCAACTACTGAGCCACACTGGCCGGGCTTTTTTAAATGTATTTTTATTGATTTTTTAGAGAGAGAGGAAGGAAGAGAGAGATAAAAACATCAATTGATTGCCTTCCACAAGACCCCCACTGGGGATCAACCTCCCAACCCGGGCATGTGCCCTGACCAGGAATCAAACCAGGACTTTTCAGTCCACGGGACGACGCTCAATCCACTGAGCCATACCAGCCTGGCTCCTGTTAAAAATATTTTAACTCCTTTTAGAACAATACTTTTTCCAACTGCCATTGTTTCTCTTCGTATTTCATGGTAAGGTACATTTTGATTGACTTGTGGTGTCCCCTTGTTTTAACAATGTTTTCCAGTTAAATTTTCATTGGGCCACCAGGGGGAGCTCAAGAATAAGTCAAAACCTTGAATGAAGCAGAGTGTCTAAGAATCAGTTTCTGACTGAATCTCAGCAACTCAGAGCGCTCAAGATAGGAGGGGCACCGAACATTCCCGCAGGGCCTAAACCGACTCTCCCTTCCACTGACTCATGCTTAAATGACCCAAGGCTTTGATATTCAAGAAGAGATTAAGAAATACAAATTGCCCTTTATAAAAACAGTCACGGGAATGTAAAGTACTGTATAGGAAAGTAAATGACACTATAGTAACTATGTATGGTGTTAGATCAGTACTTGACTTATTGGGGTGATTACTTTATAAGGTATATAAATATCTAATCACTATGCTGTACACCTGAAACAAATAGGTTATATGTCAACTATGACTGGAAAATAAATTAATTTTAAAAAAGAAAAGAAAAAGATTTCCCCCAGGGTCTCTAGACCAGCAGCAGCAGCAGCATCCTCTGAGTCTCCTAGGGACGCCGACCACAGGCCCCAGCCAGACCTACTGAGACAGTCTGCACTGTAACAGGGTCACCAGGTGGCTCTCATGCACACTCAAGTTTAAGAAGCACCGATAAAGGATAGTTGTCTAAAAAAGGAATAATATATGTTAGAGACAGAAAAGTCTTTGGACAATAGGATGAGTCTTTTCACTTGGAAAAAAGAGAATTAAAATGTAAGACACATTTCTTTGAGTAGCTAGAGGGCCTGTTTTTCAGCCAGTACGGCTTCCACAAGCCAAGTTCCCAACCCGCAGAGCTGCAGAAGGCAGACTGCTCCGGGCTACCTAGACCAGTGCAGCTCAGAGGCCGGCCAGGATCTGGAAGATCAAAATCCCGCTCCTTGACTTCAGAAGGCACTCTTTGTCAGCTCTCTGGATATAGCTGCTAACTGGCTCTTTATAGGAGAATACTGAAATTACTTACATTCCTTAATCACTCACTAACCATCAGAAGGGAAGAAACGAAAGGGTGTACAGAGAAGGCAGCCTCAAGGAGAAAAATCTGCTCCAGAAAATTTAATCAATGACCCATGTTTTATTATTCACAGTAGCGTTTGGAAGAGGCCTTTTGAGAGCATCTATTTTAATACCCTCTTCCTGCAGATGAAGAAAATGGAGGCCCACAGAGGTGGGACTGGCCCAGGGCCATCCGTGAGGGACAGAGGCAGCGCCAGCTTCTAAGGCTGTCACAAACACAAAAGACGACTGATTTTAAAGCTCCTTAGATGTCCAGGTTCCCACTTGCCTCTAGACATCCCTCTCTGCCAGCCAGACCCTACCCTCTTCTCTAACTCCCCCTCTAACTACCACTACCCCTACTCCTTCAGATCTAAGCATGGACACCACTTCCTCCAGGAAGCCCTCCCTGGCCCCTCCCGGGGGATCTGACAGTATTCTACCCTTAGCCCACTGCCTGACCATCTTCTCTGGGAAAAGCTGTGGACAGGGACCCCCTTGGCCTATTCACCACTGTACTGCCCAGCAGCACAACACCTGATCCAAGTACCACTAATAGAATAGATGAACAGAAGTGGGAGTAACTGGCCCCACTTCAACATACACACCAGTGCACATCTGCACACATACACATACACCCCAAGATGTTATTCTTATGCTGAAGCCATTTGCACTTCTGATGTGTAAGACCAAAATTTAGAAACACTGACACTTTCAACAGTAATTTCTGTGTCCATCTAAAGAATTTTTAAATGTCACAGCCGCCAAATGGAATGCGCCTCCATTTTAGGCCCTCTGTAGCCTTGACATCATCCATTTATCAGTGACCTGCTAACTTCACAATGAACCAGAAGAGGGCTCACATGCTGAGTGCCCCTCGCAGCAAAAGCAGGGGAGGGTGTGGGTGCATTAAAACCGCTTATCGACCCAAACCACTTTAACCTTCCCTAACCCTCCAGACAGTTCACATCATCTTAAAATCCTTGCAGGCCACCTTCACCGACCTTTTGAGGGGAAAGCCAAGTAGAATACTCATTAAGGCTCAATTATAAATATCTCTACGTACAGAACACTACATGCGAGGGCTGTGGAGTTAAGACAGCCTGGTCAAACAATAGGCTCCCGTTCCCAGACACTGGGACATGCTGCGGATGTATTAACTTACACAGCTTTGTAGAAGTTCTGTTTTATTTGATTTAGAATTTGCCAATACTAAGGAAATACAGGCAATGAAAACAGTTTTTCTCTAACTGTCCTCAGAGGAAAAAGTTCTATTCATAATAGGCTATCAACAAACACTTGGTTAATAGAGTAGTTAGATAATATAAAATTAATGCTGGTTTGGGGGGAAACAAGGAATGCCCTGATGAGGTTTCATATCTATCATTGAACGGAGAGTGGTTTGAGATGACAGACGGACAGAATAAAAATATTTCCCTGTTCCTCTCCTCGCCCCCCCAGAGAATCACCGTTTCTCCTCGTCTCTCTCACCCACCCCCAAACACCATGGTAAAGGGCCCGTGACCGAGCAGGCAGGCTAAGGTACTGCATTTGGGTAAAAATAACACAAATGATCCTGAAAGGAGGCCAGAGAGTGAGAAGCCATGGAAGACGTTTTCTTGTCATTAGAAGCCACACAAAGAATTGTTTTCTCTATGCAATGAAGTGCCAGCTGCATCAAAGGAAAAGCGAAAGGCCACGATCGGCCTGTGCACAGAGCCACGAGCCACCAACACCAGCATGCGTCAGGCCCGGGTCACAGGTCCCACGGAGATGATCCAGCAGGACGCCACCCAGCAGACAAGGGGGATGAAGGAACCACCTGAGAGCTTAAAATCTAGCAAGACGAAGGCCAAACGGCTTACGATAGCGTGGAAGGGTGAAGGCAAACTTACTTGCCAAATACTGGGAGAGTGAAAGGGACATCTTTTTAATAAAGAAAACAGAGTAGTAGTTTAGATAACAAGAAGAAAACTCATTATCTCAAGGTGGAGGAAAAACAGAAAAACATTGAAAGAACAGAACTACCTGTCCTTCTAGCAGCTTCCCTTGGTGGCAGCTATACCACAAAACACAGCAACTGGGACCTTGGCCAGACCCAGGATGAAAATCACCTTCACTCTTTGTACTTCCTTTCTGGGTGACAGATTTTCTTTCAATCCCCACACGCCCACCTACGTGCCAGAGCTGGAGCAGGTGGTTGGCACCTGAAGCGGTAGGTGCTACTCAAACATACCAGAGGGCCAGGTGACTGACAACCACTCTCGTATGTTAGCCCAGTCAAGTCTGGGGCAAAATCCTGTTTGGATCATCAAGAAAGGAGCAGAATGAGACCCTGAAAATAACAAACTGCATTCACCACATTTTCTCATTTGGTCTCCACACAGTGTTACATAGTAATTCCTATTAGAGGCATGTTATCAATGGGAATATAAAAACTAAATGTTGCCCTGGCCGGTTTGGCTCAGCGGTTGGAGCGTGGACCTGAGGACCAGAGAGTCCCGGGTTCAGTTCCCACTAGGGGCACGTACCAAAAATATATATATAAAATAAAGATAAAATACAATGGTTGTCTCAAATGTTAAGGGATTTGCTGAGTTGTAGGGTCTGTCAGCATCAAAGCTAGAACCTGAGTGCCGAGACCAGCCTCGAGGACACAGCTTGGGTGTCCGGTGGGGTCGGGCGGTGGGGGTGGGGGCGGAGCAGAGGGTAAATGGCGACTACTCCGCAGGACTCGGCTCCTGCAGTCACTCTTCCCGAAACCACTACCCGCCACCTCACAACCACAGAACCAATATTCCACGTGGCTGTTCAAGGACAGAGACGGAGGAAACAGTTGTGGTAGTAAATGAGTCCTTTCCCACACCATCTGCTCTGGAAAATTCAAATGGGGACCAAATGGAGAGTCTTCCCACAGGTGCTGGTCCTCCCGACTAAAGGGTGGACAACAGACAGCCTGGGTTCTGAACATAAGAACTCAGGACCCATTGTGGCCACTGCAGTTTTATTCTTCTATTCTTTATGCAGAACTTTCGACCTTGGAGACAGAAAATAAATGATTTGTAAATGTACCAGGTACTTACATATTGAAGGATTGTAACCAGTGGGTTTGGCAGTATAGTCAAAGCAGGCCTTAACCTTGAGGCTGTATAAAATTAAACACACGTTTTTAGAAGGTGCATTATTGCGGCAGGGAAAAAGCACACACACACAGCACGTTCCCCAGCTCTCAAGTTCCCCCACTGGTCATTGACAGCAAATTGCTATATATCCACTTGGCAGATTCCTCTTCCCTCTGCCCACTGCCCAGCCTTCCCTGCGGCTCGTCAGGGCAGCGGGCCTCACAAAGCAGACGTGTGCAGTGGACACGGCCAAACTCTCACCAGATCCCGCTGGGCGCCCCGCAGGCCGTTTTCTGGCGGAGATCAATCCTGTTGGGTGTTACCGTGATGGTTTTCTGAATATTAATCACAGGCCTGGATCTGAAGACAAAGGAAGAAATAAGCTCAGCCTTTGCTACCTTGAATGTGCGGTGAATTAATTCGTAGACAGATGGCATCCTCAGCTGCCTGAAACACCTTAAAAACCGCAAGACAGAAAACGCTCCCCCGCAATTTGTCTCCCCAATGACTGAAGGAAGTAACTGTTAAATGTAATTTAAAAACTGATTACACAATATTTATTTTAAAAATTTAAGTAACATTTAAAATTACAAAATGGTCTAGTTTTAAGAATAGTTTTAAATTAAAAGCGTAGTGGGTACGATGTGTCCAAGTTCCAGGGCTATCAGGCAAACAGGGTCCTCGTCCCCACCCAAACTCTCAAGCACACAAACTCTCATACATCCTGCCAGACACGTTACAGTCTTTGTGTTGGTTAAAAATACTGTCTAAAATTTAATATAAAAATACACATTTAATTCTTCAAATGGGAAATTTCCTGCCTATTGCTGCCTTTCCCATTTGTTAATATTTCCAGTCTTCTCATATCTGTTCACACAGGTCTAGGTCCTGGGTTTTTCTGCTAGTGGCGCTGCACTGCGCTGACCTCCCAGCGTGGGTTGAACCAGTCCCTAATCGGTACGCATTTGTGCTGCTTCAGGCTTTCAGCTCCAGCAAACATCCTGGTACATGCATCTCAGCACACATTTGAATTTATCTGTAGGATAAATATTCCCCTCTATTCCCCACAGCCTGAGGGGTCACCGCTGGCCTGTGACCTGACCTCTGCCACAGGCACAAGCCATGCAAGTGCATGGCGGCTGGGGGTGCAAGCGGGACAAGGGAGATACCTCTCGCCTCCATCGCTCTCCAGCCAGAACTCAGAACGGGTTCCAGGCTTCACTACCACACGCACTCAGCTGGACTGACTTGAGTGGGCTTGCGGCAAACCCAGCCATCCTGGAGAAGTATTTTGATAGGAAAATGCATTCCGATTCCAAACAACTGGATTGAACTTCTAATCAACCTACCAGGAGGCTAGAGGGCACGCGTACACTCATGGGGAAGGTGGGAGCCAGTACGAAGGCAAATGCTGCCCAGAGCCTGTCTTCCTTTCCCTTTCCCTGAAATGTTGACCTTTCTCTTGTTATTTTACATATGGGCAGCTGCCACTTTCTAAGATACTAACTAGACACACTCGAAGTTTTGAGAGCATATTTAAAAGGCAAAAATTCGCAGGTCTTTTAAAACCAGTTGCTACAAATGTTAAAGTGTTTTGGATACCATAGTATTAAGGCATAAATTACAAAAAAAATTTAACATACATTTTGGTCTAAACCCCATTTTTATTTGTTTGTTTTTTAATCCTCACCTGATATATTTTTTATTAATTATTTTTTTAAGAGAGATAGGAAGCAGGGAGAAAGGAAGAGAGAGAAACATCGTATGGTGGCCTGCCATACACAACCTGACTAGGGATGAAACACACGACGTAGGTATATGCCCTGACTGGGAATCGAACCCACAAATTTGGTGGATTAGACGATGCTCCAACCAACTGAGCCACCCAGGCAGGGTTTTGTTTTTTTTAAATCCTCACCCGAGGACATTTTTCAATATTTTGTTCAGATAGAGTGGGAGGGAGAGAGAGAGAGAAGCGTCGACATGAAAGGGACACATCGAGTGGTTGCCACCCACACGACCCAACCAGGGCCAGGGACAAACTGCAACCGAGGTATGTGCCATTAGCGGGAACCGAACCCGGATCTCTCCGAACCGCAGGCCGACGTTCTAACCACTGAGCCAAACCGGCCAAGGCTTTGTTTTTTGAACACACAACTCCAAATGCATACTATATATGAATCATGAAAATTTTGTCTCTTAACACATACAAACATTTTTACTGGCCCAGCTGCCTTGTACTTTACTGGCATCTATTTATTAACTACCCTGAAGCTCTAGAATGATTTAGCAGAAAAGGCCCGGGACCGAGGCTGGGAGAATCTAGGTGCTACACCCTGCTCCTGCATGTTTCAGCTTTAAAAGCTCAAGGTAGTCCTGGGCCACCACCTCCTTGTCCGTAAAACAAGGGAGCTGGTTTTCCTTTTGCTATCAACAGATTTCGACAATTTACTTTCAAACTATCTATGAGGAGAAAAGAAACATGTTTACAGGGTTCACCGTCAACCAATTTACGAGGACAGGAAAGTAAGGATGTTAAATTATCGATTACAGACAGAAGCAAGTATTTTACTAACTAAAGATAGGTTATTTGCTGGCAAAGATTTGGTTACCACATTTTGGTACAGGAAGTCAAGTCTTCTTGATACCTGAGGGTTAGATCTCAAGCTAGAACTAGCAAATTCAAATTGCTTTTTGATGGAAATTTGGCTGAAATAGATGAATGTCTATATACTCTTCTACCTTTAAAAACATTGACTATTTTAAGGTTAATACCCACAGACAAACAGAAACGGGCCTAAAGGTATTGTTAAAGAACCACCAGGTAAAACACAGGGTGAACGCTTTAACCTAAGAAGGCACACAGTGCCCCCCACCCCGACAGCTCAGAAGGCCAAGGGTCCAGGACTGATATTTATTAACATAACACAAACCATTACTTTTTCCCTGATCACATACACATATTAATTTAGTCATCAATTCTGACCTTTTTCTCAGTTAGTTAAAAATTGGCATGATTTTACAAAATAGTTTGTTGTTGTTTTTTTACATTGTTATATGACTTGCAAAAGAAAAACCTTCAAAATTCATACCAGCTTTTGTCTTTTGAAGTATAGGCATTACAAGTTTCTATCCAAAAGGTCAAAATTTTAGTGTAACTCAATTATTGAACATGTTTAACACACCTGAAAATAGTTACTGAATCTGACAGGGAGCCAACAGCAACATCGGGGTAGGAATTTCTATCAAGGTCCATATTCCCAGCAATTGAATATCCAAAAAAGCGTGACTTTCCCTCGAGAACCTGAAAAGAACAGGTCATCAGAATGGACACCGGGCCACCAAAATGAGCTGCTTACTCATGCTTTGAAAAAGACACAAGTTTCTTTTGAACTGAAGTTTAAGCATCCGCTTATAAATAAATTATATTCAATTATAAATAAATCAGAAATAAGTATACACATGATACAATACTTCACAGATTCCATAAAAGTCACCTGATTTACTTTGTACCTTAAAGAATTAAAAAGCCCATTGTTTATGAGCTTGTTTACTATATTACGTTAAGTCAGTCAGGGTATTTCAAACCAAACCTCTCTAACGGCCTTCCAAATGTCTTATTTTTCTCAAAAGCAATTTTTTTTATTTTTTATTTTTTATCCTCACCCGAGGACATTTTTCCATTTTTTGTACAGATAGAGTGGGAGGGAGAGAGAGGAAGAGAGAGAGAGGGAAACATCGATGTGAAAGGGACACATCGAGTGGCTGCCACCCGCACAACCGACCAGGGCTGGGGACAAACTGCAACCGAGGTACATGCCCTTAGTGGGAACCGAACCCGGGTCTCTCCGGACCGCAGGCGGACGCTCTAACCGCTGAGCCAAACCAGCCAGGGCTCTCAAAAGCAATTTTTAACTCTTGGTGTCTGAATCCTCCATGCAATTACAATCATCTCTTTCATTTGCCTGGTTTCACCTCCACTTAGTAGCTACAAAAGCAAAGATGTCACTTCTCCATCTGTTTATGCTCTCAGGGTAGAATAGTCTTTTCCTTTGGGTTACTTTGATTTCTCACTTACCAAAGACATTTTACTCTTAAGACAAGCAAGTCATTGCATTTATATCTATTTCCAAGCTATCTTCAAATAATATATTTTTAAACATAGACTTCATACTATTGTAGATTTATAAAATAGAACATGATTAGTGGAAAATTCACTTAAACCTAAATAGTCTATCACAAGGCAAAAAGCTGAAGACCCCCTGATGTAGAAATGCAGGTTATTTGATTACCTGTGTTGGTTTGGTATTTATTCCATTCGTGGATCCATGATAGATAAAAACCTTTCCATTATCATCATAGGGAGCTCCAACTGCAATATCTGTTGACGACATCACATTTTAACAAACATTACGTTCTTAAAACATTTCAGTACAGTGTTTTAAAGATGCCACAAGCACTCACCAATCAAATAATCTATGCACAAATTATAACCATCTCACAATCTATTATTCTACCTGGGTAGCCATCTTGATTAATATCGCCAATATTTTTGACAGCAATGCCAAACATAGAATCTTTGGTTCCATTAAGACGAATTGGCTTGACATTTTTCCATTTGCCTTGCTGGTTCATGTAGACATACACTGCACCTCCAACTTCTCCATCTCTGTCAAAATACTGTGGGGCACCAATCACTATATCTTGCCACCTAAAAACATAAGGAGGGAAAGGATGTGACCCATCAGCCAAAATATCGAAGTAGGGGAAGATACCACCAGCCCAGGTACTAAGAACACAAGGAGATGCGATAGAAAGGGCCTCAAATCTGGAGTTTATATCTCATCGATTAAAATATTTTTTAAAACCAAAGAAAAATTATAGAGGGTAAGAACTTCAAGCCAGTTCCCCAAGTCAGATCTAAGTACAGAGAGACTCCCAGTAAAGATTCCACTCCCCCCATCTTCCACTCCAGACCCAAACTGGCACCGCCAGCCACAGACCTATGAACTGAGTTTGTCACCAATCCCTACTTTCAGCAGGACATTCTGGATGCTCCAACAGCCCCTTGAGAAACCACAGAACAGAACCATGCAGGTGTCATTTTTTGGAGTTAATTTTCCCCCCAAATTTTAATTCTCACGGACCCATTCCCAAGACACGAGTTAAAAGCTAAAAACTAAAAAAGCTGCAATCCTACACCCTGGGAGGGGAATGGCTGTCTACTGCCAAAATATAAGTGAGGAGACATGACAGGATGGTAAACATCTGGCAGCAAAAACATTCCTTGAATCAACTAACCTGCAAGGGTGGCTCTTCTCTAGACCCACAGCAGCCAAAGCAGCAATGATTTCTTTACAAATGTAAAATAGCCCAAGGCGCGCTCACCCATCCTTGTTAAGGTCCACAACCGCCACGTCGTAGCCAAATGAAGAAGCCAGACCTTCCCCGTCAAATATGTGCTCGGGGAGAAGATACTGTGCAGACTTCATGTCTCTTTTTAGCAAGACCACAGCTCCACTGTGATTGGCTCTCGGAGCACCGGATACAAAAGTGATGTCATCTTTAGAAGTAATCCCTTTCCCTGAGTCCAGAGAAAAGCCTAGAAAAACAAAATACAGTTCATATCAATTCTGTTTCATAGGACGTATCGAGCAATGGTAATCACCATCTTTTCCTTCTGCTTTCCACCCCGCTCCTTCTGACCCTCCCCACCAGCTATCACAGTTACTATATGAAAGAGCCTCAGAGCTAAGCAGAGAGATGGCAAAGGAGTGGGCTACTGCACTGCTTTCCATGAAATGTGTTGACTTAAAAGAACCTGTGCTAAGCCGCATCTGTGTAACTGAATCGTGAAGCATTCGTCCACTAAGAATTAGCTCGAATCTTATTTTAATACGAGCAGTGCAGTAAAAGGAGATCAAACTAGATGCTAAATTATCATGGGAAACACATCATATACAGAGATACAACCTGACGTAGTGTAACTGAGTGCATGTTGTAGGGTTCTGCTATAATAAATGATTACTACCATCCATACCCAGCAATAATCAGGCAAGCACAGTGCTAACATCATCGATATACCACAGACAGCGCTTCATTGTTTTGAACCAACTTAGTTCTCAGACACAAACATGCAAACAAAACCATGATTGATGAGATATAGTATTTGAGAACCTATGTAAACAATAGAGGTGAGCGAGTTGTCATCTATATATATTTGTTAGGAGGGGGTGACAAACATTAGAACAACTAATCATAAAGCGTCAGGTAGGATGTCACATTACAAATACAAGATTTAGTCGGGAGCAAATACAAATGCCCATATCAAGACCATTCAAGTTAAGCAAGTATTTCTATAGAAAGGCGAGGCAGCTGCAGAATAGTATGAGCCTGCTCTTTCTATTGGGTTTTATTTATGAAAAGTTTCACCACTACTGTTGCAGTTCTCAAACTGTGAAGTGAGTTGCAAAACAGGATGAGCCACAAGTTTAAAATAGGGCGATGCCATCGAATCCGGCTCTGCAAACCGTCGGGCAGCAGAGCCGCCGCTGTGCGTGCTTTTCATGCATGCTTCACTTGAAATGAAATAGAAAATAAAAGGATTTATGCTCTGTGTGGATCAAAAAAAATTTTTAAATGACCATGACCAAGACAATTTATTTGTCATCTCAGAGGTCACAAACCTAGGTAGCTATTCATCATCACATCAGGGGATGTGTCGGGCTGCTCCCTGGGAGGCTGTGTTTTATAAACAAACTGATCGGGATCTGTATAAGAAACGCTGGTCAAAAACAGCAGGCCTGCGCACATGCAAGAGACGGAGAGACGGAAGAGAAAGCAGTTATGCAGGGTCAGGGGCACTGCGCAACCACCATCCCGGCTGGATGATGAGGCCACCACCGCACCTGGCAACACTGTCTTTGCCAGCTTCCGAAACCTCAGCACACCATTTCATTCCTAAAACCCATTGATTTTTTGAAATGACAGGTGCACAGCGGACAACTAAACTGCGACCATAGCAACTTGACTTTTTTTTCCCCCAAGCATCCACTTTTGAGGAAACCCATTCTGAAAGTGGCAAATGTCCGCCATACCCAAATGTTCCAATAGTAACTAACTTTATAAAGTGCATGGGCCTCTATCCTAAAGACCACGGTGTTGGTTTGTTTCTCACCATAAATTTATCCCTAAATAATGCATTTGAAGAGAGGTTGTCTGTTCACATATATTCAAATAAAGTATTGGTTTGTTGATAGTATTTATTTAGAAAAAAACATATTTAATAATTGAGACTGAAAATGGTGTGGCCTTGTGTCCCCTTCATGTCCTGCAAAGCGGTTCACACACCCAGCAAGAGGGACAAAAATACTTATTTTATAACATTGTTGGGAAGATCAAATGAGACCCGTAAAGCATTAAGTGGGTGCTTGACAAGTGATACATACAACTCTTCTCTGTCCTCTCCTATGCCTTCACACCAAGCTTTCAATTTGAAAAGTTGTTTTTTTAATTAACAGTACCTGTTCATACCTACCTATATAATTAGAACAATTTATTTTTAAATTTTTATTTTTCAATTATAGTTGACATGTAGAACAATTTTTAAGACTGTTTAACACATGTAGAATTATTCTTATATCTATACCTATTTTTTCCTTTTCATTGTTCCAGTAATATCTTTAGCATATGGGTAGTTTTCTTTAAAAAAAAAAAAATCAGTTATTATTTGGGTTTAGAATTTTTTTTACATTTTTTTCCAAGAAATGCACAGTAATTATTCTTTATGTCATCTCATACCAAGAATTAAAGCTTTAAAAGCCTTGTGTAATTACCATAATGCACATGAATAATTTAGAAACACCCGTTAGTAATGCAAACACGCCTTCGAGGGGAGGAACAGGCGCGTAGACATAATCTGGGTGTCCTGGAAGCGGCCTCGGCAGTCCGGCTCCGTCTCAGCTGGGAAGCCCATGTGCCAACCCACCAGGGGCCCTGTGACACGCGGGTCCCAATCCCGAAGCAGGGCCAACCCCTGGAGAGAGGCAATCACAGAGGAAGGGCCTGGGGGTGTCGACCTGCCACTTAGGAGGAACTTCGTAAACTAGCTCGGAGAGCAGCTCCCACAACTGCATGAGCGGCCTGCTTCAAGCGACAGAGGCTGACATTCGCTCAGGAAACAGACTTCCACGCAGAGCACAGAGGATGTTAGGAAAAAATAAGTTTCCTCCCCACTTAGTGAGCCTAGGTTAGAAGGGAAGGATCCCAAGCATCAGTCAGATTACCTTAGAATCACCAAGGCCTAAATCTAATTCCAGCACACGCAGCCGCAGGCCCCTGGCTGCTCCTGCCCTATTCTCAGCCTGGAAGTCCAAGGCCGTGTGAGGGCAGAGTCCCCAGAGGCGTCTGCTCTCTTCCTACCTAAGTAACTGTTAGCAGGAACAGGAACTAGACTTTCATCATGGTCAGTCTCTCCACCAACTTCATAAGGCCCATCTTCAAAGATGTTCATGTCAAAAAAAGTGTTATTCTTTTGTTCTACGCGAACAATCCCTAAAGGAATGAAATGGCAAAAAAACAACAACAAAAAAATGAAGATGAAACAAAACAAAACAGGTGGTTCCTAATAAAACATCCCTCATGTTACCACTAAGCACAGCAAGGAGAGTTTGAAGGAAGAAAGGCAGGAAAAAAGAGATGGCTTTTGAGGTTATTAAAGTTAAAAAATCATGTTCATGTACATTTTTATATCAAAGAAATGTCATTCTAGGAAGAGTAATAAAAATATGCCTCATGCATCTGCGTGACTCATCTTTGCAATGCCATGAAACTAGATGGAAACGGAAAGTTAACTAAATTTACAGAAAACAATGTTTTAAAAATTATATGAACCTGATGATACTTTACATTTCCCATCATCCAAAAGCAATGTACCTTCTTTACAGTACTGTAAAAATGAAATTAATAGCTTGATCTGTTCTCTACTCTAACCAAGATTTCATCTTTTAAAATTTTTCATTAAAAAGATTTTTAGATACTCAGCCCACTATGTGAGTTTTTAAAAATGGCAACCTTTCAAGTCAGGGTTTATAAAGCAGATGAAACATGTTTCCTATAAACAAAAACAGACATAATTGGTGGGTGTTTTGTGTTACTATGTATGGCATCTATTCTTGCTAAAATAAAACTATTTTTTTCCATGAAAAAATTTCCAAGTTTTTCCTGAATAGTGAAAATGTTATAACATAGGATTTATTTTAATACATTTCTCAAAATCAAGTCTAATTTCCAAATCAGATGTATTTCTCTCTATTATGGATTAGAGTTAGATTAAGTGTTCTTTTTTTCTTTTTCTTTCATTTATCTTCAGATAGAGGGGGGCGGAGAGAAACATGGATGTGAGAGAGACCCATCAACTGGTCGCCACCCACACGACCCCAACCGGGGCGGGGACAAACTGCAACTGAGGTACATGCCCCTAGTGGGAACCGAACCTGGGACTCTCTGGTCCGCAGGTCAACGCTCTAACCACTGAGCCAAACTGGCCAAGGCAGGTTAATTGTTCTTTATAAAACAGTGGTTTTCTACACCTGGCTAATCTCTTCAGAGAAGTTAAGCTTTTATTACAGGAGCTGACCAGGTTCATCCAAGTCAAAAAATGTGGGCCATTCTCCCTCCCTCCCTCCCAGTGTCTCCTTTTACTACATCGCAATGCTAGTTAAATAATACCATTAAACAACTTTTCTGTAAGTTATATGAAATTATCATCTCAAAACTCCCTCATTTGTCATCTACCCTTCTAACTCTATTAGCAAAACAGCCTTTTACAATAGTATATAATGAAAGAAATGTCTGTATTTTTTTTTTAATCCTCACCTGATACTTTTCTATTTGTCTTCAGGTAAAGAGAAAGAGAGAGAGAGAGAGAGAGAGAGAGAGAGAGAAACATTGACATGAGAGGGACACATTGACTGATTGCCTCTTGCACTACCCCGACCAGGGCAAGGGATGAACCACAACCAAGGTATGTGCCCTTGGCCAGAATCGAACCTGGGACTCATAGGTCCAAGTGCCGACGCTCTACAGCTGAGCCAAACCGGCCAGGGCAGAAATGTCTGTATTAAGGCAGATATTTGTACATGACAGACAGTATTCAGTTCTTACCAGTTTTCAGATCATTATCTTAAAATTAAAATTTTCAGCTTCATGAAACAGGCAAACAGTAAAACTACTAATGGTAATTATTATACTCTTACAGAAAAAATGTTAACTACTTGAATTGATGTAAATTGCTGGTAGTGGAAAAAAGTCTCTTAAAACATTCACTCCCACCATTATTTGTTTTTTTTTTTTTTAAATCACATAATTTAAATATTTTAATATCCTATTCTAACTTCTATAACAGACAAGCACCTTGTAACACATTTTAATTTAAAATGTACCAAATCATGGTGCATATAATAGAAATTAGGTAGTCATTCTAAATCTCTGTCTCTATAAACACACACGTCATACCTTTCCAGTTGTAAGTGCCTGGGGCTCCAAAGACAATGTAATGAAAGTCTTTAGTAAAAGTAGCTGCTACACCTTGCTGGCAAGAACCAAATTTTTCATGGCCTCTCAATCGGCCATCACAAAAACACCATTCTCCTCCATCCATCTCATCTTCAATCATGAGGTTCTGACTCAGGACGTAACACCTTCCAAAGATGTCTCGGGATTCCTGCTTTGTATTAACATGTTGTCTTTTTTCATAGCGATGAGCACATGTCTGCAAACAGATGGAATAACGTAGCCCACACAAGTCTTACAACCCTTATGTTTTTCTTTACAAATTGATACAACTGTCAATAATAAAGAGGATATTAAATGTGCCCTCATCCTGGGACTGAATACAAAACCACCAAATCTTCCCCAAAGTGTCACTAAGAAGGCCTTTAACTAGCCTATAGAAATTATAGGACATCTGTCTTATGTTCACACAGAGAATAGGGCCCCAATCCGAATACTGAATGCCAATCTGCAATCCACAGGCAATCTACCTGTCACATAAACAATGGAAATAACTTATTTCATTTTCTTAATTTAACTGGTTTAGTGGCTGTATAAATCTTCATATCAATATGTTAATGAAAATAACATGTTCCAGAGGAGAGAAATCACGGGCATATGTTCATAGGAATCAGGTTAAAACACATTTTTCTTTTACCCACACTATCTCCTTATAATCTTAAATCCTAATTTATACTCTAAACTTTGAGATCAAGTTTATTCTACAAGGCAGAGAGAATTACACTGCTTGGGACATGAAATAATCTCTATAGTTTTACAGGGTATTCAAGGCTATACTCCATGTAACACAGGTGAAAATACTTCACAATGTCCAAGTCAATTTCCCATAATATAGGCCTTAAATATCAAAATTCAATGTTTAGTGAAATTTTTCTCAAAATTCTATATACATTTGTTACAGCAACCAGATTTTGAAGGAGCCACAGAAAGAGCATCATAATCCTGGGATGGGGGGCCACATCCAAGGTCATCCAGCATAATCCATCTAACAGAACCTGTCATTTCTGCTACCACGTCTACCTGAAGAAGCTCAGAATAAGTCTCGAGAGTTTAAGATAATCTGATCTTACTTTCCATGACCATTCCCATCTTTTTTCATACCTCATCTACAAAAGCTACATGGTTCCTGGGACCATGTCTAGCTTTGCTTTGCTTTTTTTTTGTTTTAAGACCATCTAGAGTTTGAGATAGTCAGTAGAGGTTTTTTAATAAATTCTCTGAAGTCGAATGTTCACTGCGATAAGCCCGGCACTCACACATTGTGGAGTGAACACACTCCTCTGTACTTACCACAACTTTGCCACCAGGCCCTTGGCTCTGGACAGTGACCCCCATCCACTGATCTTCCTTGCTTTCTGATAAAGGGTCAGCTGTGGAAAACACATAGTTAGGACTTCAAAGTGACCGAAACAGGCAATGAACCAATAAATGAACAAAAATACAAGAAACGTTTCTAAATAGCCTTGACTCCAAGTCTAACTAAGTAAATTCTGCTACTCAGCCCAGAAAAGTTACTTTTCATCAGTAAGAAAACAGATGGGTGATTGTTAGTTAGACTCTTTCAATGGGAAGAGGCATGGCAGGCACAGTCTTTCAATCTCACATCATCACAAAACTATGAAAATTAAACCACTTTAAGTAGACAGAGGGAAATGCCAAAATGTTAAATAAAGAGTGATTATATCTAGATTACCAGTGGATGTTTCTTTATAGATTGATGCCATTTATAAGTTCCCCACAATTAACATGTATTCTTTTCTAATCAGTTAAAACAAAAGGGGGGGTCATTTCTAAAAGATGAAAAAGCAAAAGGAGAACACGAAAATAAAACATGAATCTGCAAAGCTACTTAGACCAAGTATGTCAAATTAAGTTTGGTTGGAGCGTCTCACCCGAATTGCTCTGCTCAACAGAGTCTTCACAAAACACACCAGGATCTGAGACAGTAGGGCAAAATGTATCCATGTCAGTCAGCTCTCATTTCAGAGAGATCTGGCCCTGGCCGGTTTGGCTCAGCGGTTAGAGCGTTGGCCTGTGGTCCTGAGAGACCTGGGTTCAGTTCCCGCTAAGGCGTGTACCTGGGTTGCAGTTTGTCCCCGGCCCAGTCGTGTGGGTGGCAGCCACTTGATGTGTCCCTTTCACATTGATGTTTCTCTCTCTCTCCCTCCCACTCTATCTGAACAAAAATGAAAAAATGTCCTCGGGTGAGGATAAAAAAAAAAAAAAACAAACCCAGAAAGATCTGAAGTTTAAAATCGGCTTTCTCACAAGTATTTTAACAGCAAGTGAGAACTTTTGGCTGCTATGTACAAAACACCCACGTTCAAGTTTCTTCCCTGCTCTGAATGCAGTTTTTCAGCGGCCTCCTGTAGAACTTCAACATGTCACTAGGTGGCAGCATCAACACACCATATCAGTTTAGGAACCAGGGTTAGGAGGGCAGCAATACAGTGCATCGGAATGGGGTTTAGAAAGTGGTAAAGGTTTTCAGGGCAAACAAGAAGCAGTTAAGGCTGATGCAATTAAAAGAAGCCCTCTCTCCAAGAGCGAGTGCTTGTACTCCTTCCTTCCTCGTGGCAAGGGCAAGTGGCACAGATGAGCTGGCCAAGTGAACACTGAGTGAGGGCAGGAGAACACACACACCATTGTTATCAAACTCAATCCGTGTGCAAGGGTCCCGAGAGGTGATGTCACAGCTGTATAAGCCTCCTGTTCTGTTGGCCTTCTGCAATGGAAGGGCCACTGCCCGAGGGGCCCCCACAAGCAACCTGTGGACAAAACAGAGAAATTGAAGATGAGAGTTTAATACACACTTAACATTTCAATTAATCAGAACCAAGAGATACTGGGATTCTTTGTCAAGGAGTCCACTAATGTTCTGCTAGCCTAGGCGGTGAGGGGAGTAAAAGGAGAGTCCTGTGACTGCAACACATACAACTACTACCCAAGTCAAGCACAAGGAGCAGGGTTGTTAAAACCAGGCGAAAAATATGTCCATCTCTCATAGTGTCAGCGCTCTCTCCCAAGTACGATTCTGGGATTCTGAAAGACACATTTCATAGAACATGACCCCTATACCCAAGCCAAGGACATCATATGGAGCACAACAAACAAAACCCACATTCCCATGCTGGAAGGGGGAAACAGTCCGGGTAAACTTAACAAGGTTAAACTTAACAAGTGATAATGTTAATTTCTAATACTGTGCCTTCCTGAGGTATGTTTCAAAGATAATTTTTACTATAGCCTAAATTTCCACTTCTGTAGTGTTACATTAATTAGACATCAAGGCCATTAGACCGATGTGGCTCTAATGCCTATGTGAGGAAAAAAAAAATCTAAGCTTGTAAATGTCTCAAGGTTACAAAATCAAACCCTCAGGACAATTGATTGCGAAGAGCCAACGAGGCTTTAACCTATAGCTGATCAGCACTTCCTTTCTACTTCCTGGCTTTGCGCGTCCTTCCCCTGGCTCCTGTTGGTGGAGCACTCCACACAAATTCCAGTTTGGCGATCTGAATCAATTTTTGCTCAAATAAACTAATAAAAATTTTAATATGTGCCAGTTTATCTTTTATTTTTTTAGAAAGAGTGGGAGGGAGAGAGAGGGAGAGAGAGGAAGAGAGAGAGAGAGAGAAACATCAATGTGAAAGGGACACATCGAGTGGCTGCCACCCACACGACCAACCAGGGCCCCAACCAGGGCCGGGGACAAACTGCAACCGAGGTACACGCCCTTAGTGGGAACCGAACCTGGGTCTCTCTGGACCGCAGGCCGACGCTCTAACCACTCAGCCAAACCGGCCAGGGCCAGTTTATCTTTTAACAATACTGATTTAGAACCTAACCTTTGCCCAGGATTACTGTCTCTTGCAGCCTTGGCCTGTTTCCCCACCAATTCTCACTTCTTGGCACTCTTGTCATCTCCCACAAACTCCTCCACTATTATCCCCTCAGCCCTGCACAGGGACTCAGGCAGGGCCTGGGGAGTGCCACTCTGTACTGAGCATCAGTATTCCTTCTTTCCTCCCACTCCAGTGTTCTTGCTAGCTCCTCTAAGAAGGTCCCTAACCCAAACACACAACCGTTAAAACCTCACTGTTTCATAGCCAGGAGGGATCTTTGGAGACCTACATTTCTGCTGGGTTCCTTTTGCTAATGCTCTTTACTGACCATCAGTTTTATAATCTTTGGGATCTGGCTGACTGGTCTAACAAACAGGAAAGGAAATAAAGAGAAAGAACACACACCTGACTGGGCAGAGAGAAATGAAGCTGGAGCTGGGGAAAAGAGCTGAGAAAAAAAGAATATGAACAAATAAACTTCTCCAAACAGGAAACAAGCCACTCCTGGCCTTCAAGAAATCCACAAATCTCAGATGCAGAAGTAAAAAAAAATATACACACAAAGAAACAAAAAAAACACAAACCAGTTTCTACCACCTCTATCTCTGCTGTTATCCCAATAACAAATTTAATGTATTTTTAAAAACCATGCAATGCAATGGGTGCGACAGGAGGAAAATGCACTCAGAAAACTGAGAGGGGAACCAGGCTCTGCCAGGGAGGGCCAGGGAAGCAAGGTCTTACACACTGAGCCAGGCATGGCTCAGGTGGGAACACACGTCCCTCACACCATCCTTCCTCCCAGACTCCTGGTTGGCGGCACCGTCAGCCTCCACCTCCAATCCTCCCTACATTTGAGGGGATGAAAGAAATCACACCACGGTATTGGACTGGAACTGAGACTGAGCAGGACCGAGGTGGGGCCCTCGGTGCCTGGAAATTCTTGGCAAAGGCCTTGGGGGTCTCCACTGAGCCACCCCACACCTATTCCATTAATGTCCATGATCCCATGAGCTCCACAAATAGCTGAGAGGTGAACTGGCCTAGACTGTGAGCAAATAGTTCAATTACGTGACAGATGTGGGGATGGAACCCTGTCCCAGGTCCTGGCAGGGATAAGCAAGGTGCGGGGTCAGAACCACAGGGTCACGGGGGTGAGGGCCGGAAGCCCCAGAGACAGTGTCCAGCCCTACAAGTGGACGGATGGGAGAACAGAGACCTGTGGAAGGAGGAAGGCAATGACTCTGCCCTAAGATCTCACAACCTGTTGTTGGTAGCCAGGACAAAAATTACTTTGGAGCAACGTTTTCCCCATTCGTTTAAAATGCTTCCTAGGAAATAAAACTCAGGATTTTAAGGTACTTACAACCACGCTGAAAGGGCAAATCCTACCAGATGAAATACTGAACTAAGAACTGCGCTGTACATAAGACTAAATTCTAAAGGTTGAGGAAGGCCAAGTCAAACATGACTGCAGATGGGTGGGGTGAAGGTCAGGGGAGAGATTTCCTATAAAGGTAACTCCGACCGGAAGGCTGGAAGGGGCAGCCCAGAGTTCCACGGTTACTGCTGTGTCTTCCCGTCCACCTGCTCTCCTCCTAGTCCACACCCAAGCAGGTGGCAAGCTCCCTGGGGCAGGCACAGGGCTTGTTGTTTCCTGTGCACTGTACTGGCTCATTCCTTCACTTATTCATCCCACAAACATTCACGGGCCTCCTGGGATGAATAAGGACTCGCCCCCTCCCTCTCCCTGCCATACTGTCCCTTGTGGAGCCTGAGGCAGGAGCTGGTGGTTACACCCCAGGGAGGTAACGGGAGGGCGGCCCGAGTGCTGGGCGCGGTCCGGTGGGAGGGGGGCGCCCACGCCGGCCTGCCAGAGGCGGGGGAGGGGGGCAGGTGAGGGGCCGCGCAGGGGGGCTGGGAGGGAAGGGTGAGGGGCAGGGCGATGCCCTCGGAGCCCCGCTTCCGCCCTGCTGAGCCCCGCAGGAGACAGGTGCTTCCGCACATGCCTGTCGTGTTGTGTGAACGCTGCGGAGAGCGGTCCAGTTACAGGGCGGCGCTTCCTCCAGCCCCCTTCTCCGGGCCGCGTCCTGGGCTTCTCCCTGCTTGGGACCTCCCTCTTCCACTCGATCCCCTTCCCCTGGGCGCTAAGGGGCCTTTAACACGCAGGACAGCGAATAGGCCCTTAAATCCACGTCACCTGGAATCTGCCCCACCTGGGATGAAGGCGGGCGCTCTGCGGCCTCAGGCCCCAGGCAGCCAGAGGAGGAAAAGCAGACGCTGGTGGAGGAAAGGGACGTCCCTGGGACCACACGTACAGGAGAATCGGTAAAACACTGATTTGGGGGAGGCACAGGGAGCGATGGAGTTATAAGTCAGATAGAATCAGAGTCACGGAAGAGGTGAAGCAGCACCACAGTCCTCAACGAAATTCAACATTGGCAGGTGTCTTAATCCTCAGAGTAAAGCTGCCCTCTCTGGTGCAGGAAATAAACAAACTCTTAATTCTGCTTAGAACTAACCTTAATCACAGGAGGACATAGCCCATTAGCTGAGCCTCTGTCTGGCAAGGACAAATCAAACATAGAGCTGTGTCCAGTCAATGACACTGTCCCTGGTGCAACCCATCTACTTCCTAATCTAAGTCCCTCAGGACCTTGGATCTAAGCTATTAGGAACACAGCCAGCTCCTGAGCTAACAAGGAGGGTGCAGCTCCAGAAGGGACAGCCTGCATCTAGGGGATCCCTCGGGTCACGACAAAACCCAGTTTCTGCTCAAATCCCAGCTTACTTCCCTTTGCCCCCAAGGCCCGTGGATGCTGGATTCAGTGAGAGCAGCAGGCACTCTCTGGGCACCACCAGGGTACCCACAGGAGCTCCCAGGGACTCAGGCAGCAGCTGCCAGGCTGTTCAGTTCATTTTCTCTTAAAAAGCAGCAACAGCAGCAGCTGCTCTTAGTACTGACCCACCCAGTATGTATGAAGGAATTCAGAACTACAGTAACAACTCACATTCAGAGTAACAGAGACTAAGGGATATAAATTATGGCTTCCAAAGGGAGTGGTGGAAATTAACAGAACAGCATCTAAGAAGCCTATTTCCATCCGGTCAAAAGGGAAACTGCATCAAGGAAGGGTAAGAATTTGAGTTTGAAATAAGATTGTTTTAGACACCAAAAGGAACAGGAAAAATTACTTCCCAAATTGCTTTTCACACGGCCAATGGACAATGACCTCCACTGTCTTAGAGCCATACTGACATAAAAACTGCCTGGGGATTCCAAAACATTGAAAACCACATTGAGAATATAAGACAAAACTGATGAGGAATAAAATCTGAATTAGTAAAATGCAATGTAAAAAGCTAACTACAAACTACACGAGTGAGACAGTAACTGAGAATATGCTACAAGTTCAGGGCTTTGAGTCTTGATCAGAATTCTGGGCACAAAGATCAGGACATATTATCATGCTATTAACCACAAAGTTATTTCAAACTTCTTCAAATAAGCCACACTCCTGTTTCATATAGTCAAATTCTCACCCAATTAGCATCCTTTTACATAACGACTTCAACCAAAGTTTTAAACACTGGGGCACTTTTCAAACTCAGGGGACAATAGTAGCTTTGCTACATTGTTTTTGGCAATAATTTATTTCCTCAAGGATTAAAGATTCTGCCTCCAGCCATGCAACTTTTCTCAGGAAATGTGAAATATTGCTTCATTAGAACAAAGACACAATTATTGCTTAATTTAAAACACAGCCTTTAAGTTTGTTCAAATTAAGCCTTAAAAAATTAGAAGATGGCATTACCATTTCAACCTTTACCTTTCTATACCTTTAACCCATCTTCCAACTCAGTTTTTAATTTTTATTAAATAAATACAATTTAAAAAGAAAGCATTTATGGAAAGCAACAGA